TCGATATTGGGGCTGATGAGGGGTTGAGCTTCCAGGGGCTGAGTGGTGACGTGAGATGGGGATTGGGGGCCCAGGGAGGGGCGATGGGGCTGCCCGGGTTACCCAGGGCGAGCTGGGGTCGGGCGCGCGTGTGCCCCGCGGCTCGGAGGAATACGGCGGGGCGGGGCGGGCCGCCGGGGGGGCGGGGCGGGGGCGGGCCCCCGGCGGGCCGAGCCGGAGCCGGAGCCGGAGCCGGAGCGGAGCCGGGCGCCGCGCCTCCCTCGCCGTCCCCGCCCGGAGCCCGGCGCCGCCGCCCGCCGCCCGCCGCCCGCCGCGACGTGGGCATGAGCCTGGCCCGCCGCCCGCCGAGCAGGCGCCCCCGGCCCGGGCCGCGGCGCCCAGGTAACCAGCGGGCGCGGGCGGGTGGGGGCCCTAGGCCGCGCCCGGGCCGCGAGAGACCCTCGGTGACTCCCCCCTAAGAGCTCTCCAAGCCCAGGGGACCTTCCTGCTCTTAGGGGACCTCAGGGACCCGCCCCCTCGAGCCAGCCCAGGCCCCTAAAACTAACCGCTGAGCTCCACCTATCCCCAGCTTTCCTCTCCAGGGGAGCCGGGGTCCCGGCCGACCTCCCCGGACCCCACGCACACCGGTGGGAGAAGCCGAGGCCCCTGTGCGCCCTGCCCCTGGGCCTGCCATCCTGAGGGGCATCGCCCGGCCCGTCGCGGCCCCCGTCCTCCTCCCCACTTTCCTGCCCCCATGCCCTCGTGCGCTCTCAGCTCCGTCAAATTCCAGCAGAGAAAACGTCTACTCCAGTTGCCCCCACTGCCCCCCCCCCCACCTGCAAATGGATACTACCCTACAACTTAAACTCGCAGCCGGCTGCCTCCTTTCCTTGGACCTTTCTCCCCTGGCGTGGGGCCCTGTCCACCTTCTCCCCCAGGGCCCCTGAGGCCCGGCTCCCATGGAATGCTTCCTGTCCTTGCAGAGGGGCATGAGCGGAGGCTGGGCACCTGGGGTGGTGTGGGCAGAGCAGGGCCTCAGTGCAGCCTGCCTGCCCCAAGCTGGGGTGCAGGGCAGTTGCCAGGACACCCGGATGGAGGGTTTGGGGTGTAGGGTCTGGAAGTCAAGGGCAGTGAGGGGGCCTGGCTGGATTCACCGTAGCAGTTACAGGCTGGGCTTGTTTAGCACCGATTCTTTCCTTGCCCCTTTCAGAGGGCTGTGGCTCCAATGCAGGCCATTCCTGTCCCCCACCTGGGATGGGTCCCAGGAGCTGCGCCCCCTCCCGCCCAGTTGCTTGCCCCTCTGTGCCTGGGCTACTTCCAGCCCTTTACTCCCAGGCAGGGCAGCAGGGCTGGGCATGACCTCGCACAACAACCCTGGCCAAGGTGGGGCCACCCAGTCAGGCCTGGACACAGTGTCAGCAGTGCTCTCTCTCCCTCGAGGCTGTTTTGAACCAAACCTTGGGTCTGGGCCCTGGCTGGTTCTCCAGGAACAACAGTTTGCTGGCCATGATGGTCAGCACGGGGACAGCCCTGGGGCCCTGGTGGTGGGAGCCAACCCCTGCTCACACTGCCCTGGAGGTTGAGCTGGGTCCCGCTAGGTGGATATTGGTGATGGTGAGAGAAAGGATGAGGAAGACAAATCCTGGAAAGAATTATGCGTTCAGTCCCCAAGCATCGAGCATATACTCCGCGCTCAGCACTGTTCTAGGTGCTGGTTGGAGCTGTTAACTAGACAGACAAGGCCTCGCATCAGGGAGCTGACATTCTAGGAGGTTCTAGGAGAAAGAGCAGCGAGTAGCAAATGAACAGATGAAGGAACGAGAAAATCCTATAGTGATGCGTGCGATCAAGACAGTGAAACTGGATGTTGTGAGAGGGGCTGACTGGCCAGAGTGGTCAGGGAAGGCCTCTCTGAGGAGGTGACCTTTGAGCTGAGACCTGAATGAAGCGGTACAGTGAACCGTGAGCCCACCTGATGGAACAGTGTTGTAGGTGGGGAACAGCAAGTGGTCCCCTGTGGGAAGCAGTAGGCGTGTTGAGGAACAGAAGGAAGGCCAGCGTGGTGGAGCATACTGAGCAGGGGGAGACGGGGTTGGGGGGAGACCGGAGAGAGCGGAGTGGCAGCAGTGTGGAGCCACAGCTCCGCTTCTCTGACTTAAGGGCCCAGGAGATACCGTGGCTGTTTTGTCCCCTCCTCCCACCGTTCCTCTCTGCCCAGTGGGTATTTGATCTGTCTTTGCCACCCGCCCTGGGTGAGAGCTGCAGTGTTTTGGGCGGTGGTTCCTTGTGGGATTTGCCTGGGCGGAGGCGGTGCGGGGTGGGGGCCCCTCCCGGCCCCTGATAGCAATCACACTGGGGCAGAGAGAGCAAGACCACAGGTGATGGGAAATGTCCCTGGTGCTGGGGAGAATCCTGCCGATAGGATCTTTGCCGTGGAGCGGAGACAGCGAGACGACAGTGAGACGGTGTCCAGGTAGCGCTGTCCCTGGAGCCCTGATAAGATCCGATCTGTCCTGGAGGGGGAGGCCCAGCCAGGCGGGCAGGCGCTCCTGCTCACTCATTGGTTGCCAACTGCAGCGAGTGGCGTTTGTTCTGGAGCCAAAGGCTCCAGGCAGAATCCAGGTGCAGGGAGGAAGTGCTCAGAGCGGCTGCCCCTGGGGCAGGTGGGCCCTGCCCCGCGCCTCTGCTGGGCACCAGGGAGTCTCCCTGCCCCCTCCCCGCGGGACACCTTCCCTTCCTGGGGAGGGGCGGTTCAGAGGCAGCTTCTCTGAAGAGGCCAGTGGTGGCCTGGCCCAGAGCAGGTACTGTTTGGTTGAGCAGCAGTGTTGATGCCAGGCTGGGAAGAGGAACGGGGGGGGGCCCTTGCTCCCCCCTGCAGTGTTGAGGGGGCTGCTGGGCACCCTGCTTAGCTTCTCTGGGTGCTCAGAGCTGAGCCCCCGGGCCCGAGAACTCAGGTCCTCTCCAGTTAGGGGGCATTCCTCCCTCTGCAGGCCCAAGAGAGGCAGGGCTGGTGGTGACTCAGGAGCGATGGGAAAGTGGCTCCAGGGACGGCAGGCCCACTTACTGGCCTGCTGAGCTCAGCTGCCCTCCACGCCTCCATGCCCCACTGGGCCTGCGCAGGCTCAGCCTGGGGGCTGCCTCTCTTGCTTAACACGGTGCAGCCCCTCTGGGGGATGGGTTGGCTCTGTGTTCCCCCACTCACCTTGATGCCATTGTCCATCAAATTTGTGGGTCCACCTATGGGCCCTTCCCCCTCTCTCTCTCCCTCCCAATTCCCCTTTGCTGTACCATTTTGGGCCCCAGGCTGGGTCTTGCTCTTGCAAACTTCATTAGGGACTGAGTATGGCCAGCATTCCCTGTGACTCGGGGCCAGAGTGAGCCGCCAGGCCCTTTGCCACCCAGGCCTCCCCTGGAAGGTTGCTCTTTCCCCTGGTTTGTTTCTGCGGGGCTGATTCTAGGGCCTGGGGGATGGGTGGGGTGTGGGCCTAAGGACAGACGTGGCAGGGGGCTCCTGAGAGCTTGGCAGCCACGGTCACTCTTAGGTGCTGCTGGGAAGGTAACTGGTGGAGCCAGGAAGGGGCAGGCCTGCATTGGGCCTGTGGAGGGCTGGGTTATGGTGGTTTCACAGCCCTTGGCTAGGCAGCAGCTCTGAAATGAAAACAGCCCTTGGAGCTTTGAGGCAGAAGTTCTGGGTCCCAGTGGGCAGGCAGCTGCCTCATGGATTCATTTCCTCACTTAAAGTAGGTGGATTTGTTCTCGGGTTTTTTTTTTACTGATGGGGAAACTGAGGCACTGAGAAGTTAGGTGGCTTGCCCAGGACCACTTGGCCAGCTAGATTCACATTTCTGGCTGTGCCACATCTGGGCTGCCGTGGATGAAGCCAGGGGCCCCGCGTGCTTTCGTAGGTTTGTTCTGAAAGGGGCCTTGTGTGCTGTGGATGCACAGCCAGTGGCCAGCCTGCTGTCATCCTGGAGGGGAATTTTATGGGGCTAGTCCTTGCAATGGGGACAAGGCAGTCCCAGGGGCAGGTGGTAGAAACAGAGCTGGGAAAATTTACCCATCTCTGACTGCCAGAGCCCAGGTGTGGCAGGGCTGTTGGGGGTCAGTGCCAGGGAGGGGACCCCAGCCCAGACCTTACAGGAAGAAAGGGACCAGTTGGGTGTGGCAGGGTCTTAGACCCCAGGGCGCTGGGACAGAGGGAGTGGGCAGGGAGGCAGTGGAGGGCGTGCTGAAGAGGCTGTCAGGGTGCAAGTGGGATAGGCGAGCATTACCCTCTCTGCCCCTCCCTGTGTCGTGTGTGCCCACTGGGGCAGTCCCATCTGTTCCTTGTTAGAGACTCAACAGACAGGCCTCCAGGAGATTAATTAATGCCAAGCTGCTGGCAGATCCAGTAGCATGCCTGCCCCAGGGCCCCATCCTGGCAGCACAGATGCCCAGCTGACCCCAGAAATGCTGCTCCATTCCCACCCAGTGATCCTGGAGACATGGGGGGCCATGTTGCTGGCACAGCCCTGCCCCTGAGCCTGGATGGCAGAGAGGGCTTGGGTGGTGGCAAGCAGCCAGAGATGGCCGCAGGACATTCCACCCCGGGCCTGCCTCTGTCACCCACTCCAGAACTTCCCATTTGTCCCTGGCTGTGCCCAGGGCTTGCTGTGTGACCTTAGCCAGGCTGTTTATCATCTCTGGGTAACTTGCTTTTCCCCATCTGTAAAATGGGTTGGACTGGGTCATCATGGAGACCACCTTGCCGAGTCGGAGTCTTCGTTATTTCTTGATCTGCCTGATTCTGAGTGGCCCCTGCTGGCACCCCTTTTCCTGCTCCGTACTGACTTCCCGTTGGTGCCCCTCATTGTCGTCCAGCTGTGTCCTCTGCCCCAGGCCCCAGTGATTGCTAGTTTTCCCTGTAATTAATTCCTGCCCACGCTAGGACAGGGGGGCACTGCATGGCCTGGCCAGACCCAGGGCCCAGCACCAGGGTTGGGGCTGTCTGTTTCCACAGTGGCCACCTCCACCGGCCCAGCACATTCCTGAGCCTTATCTGGGGGCCCGCCCAGCTGGACTCTGCCCTCCCACCCAGGAAGCAGCACAGAGGAGCTGCCCAAGAGTTTCGGGGGCTGGGAGCAGGGCCTGAGGTGACGATTCTCAGCCTCAGCCTGGGGCTGGAGCTGTGGGATGGGGTGGGGCAGAGGGATTTTGGGGTCTGCTGAGACTGACAGGGTCCTTAACCTTGGGGAGCGTGGGGTTCACTCAGACTCCAGACTTTGCCATCTCCTGGGGCCCTCCCATCTCTGGGAAGGCTCTCCTGTGGGGGTCCTTGTGCACGGGAGGGGGCCTTGCTCTGGGGAAGTTGCCCTAAGTCTGCCCCAAAGTTGTAACAGGAGACAGGGCTGGACAGCAGGTCCTGGGCCCTCCCTCCCTCTGCCCCCACCTCCACAGCGGGAGCCAGAGCCAGTCCTCCAGGAAGGGGTTAACTGCCAGCCCCAGCCATGAGGGAGGGGACTGGGCTGGACCATTTTCCTCACTGCTGCCTCCACCTCGGTTTTCCTGAATGGTTCTGTCGTCCTGGGGTGGGGAGGGAAGGGAAGGAAGAAGGGCGGGCAGAGGGAGGGAGGGAAGGAGGGAGGAGTGTGGGAAGAGGAAGGAAAAAAGAGCGAGACAGCCAGGGGAAGAGAAAGATGTCACTGCCTAATCTCCCTGTCATTTTATTTCCAGCAGGCACCGGGCGAAGGAGCTGCTAGAACAATGCTGAAGCGGGCGAGGTGAGGAGCCGCCCGGTGAGGCAGCCCCGACGGAGTGTCTCGAACAGGTGATCGGAGGAGCTGGAAACCGAGGCCACCTGGGCATCCTTCCCCTCGCCCCAGCCAGGCCCGGGAGCCCCAAAGGTGGTGGGGAAACCATGGCGACCAATTTCAACGACATCGTCAAGCAAGGCTATGTGAAGATGAAGAGCAGGAAGCTCGGGGTGAGCCGCCCTCCGAGGGGCCCTGCCGAGGGACGGGCACCCCAGGACCTGGTCTGGAGCCCAGCATGTCGGGGTGTGCAGCCACCCGCCTGTGGCCGGCATGGTGCATTTGTGGTCTCGAGGCTTCTGGCCAGCGGGCCGCCTGGCATGTGCCTGGGGTGGCCTTCCCTGCTGCAGCCCCCGCCCCAGCAGGGCTGCCTAGCATCTCAGCCAGGCTAGCGGTGGTAGCGAGGGGCAGGAGGCTCCCCTGCTATTGTTGAAGTTGTCGTCAGGGCAGCGGCAGGAGCAGCTGGAAACGCTGGGCTGTGTCTGGGCTGAGACCCGGCTTCTCACTTGCCCGCGCCTCCCCGCGCCTCCCTCCCCTCTCGTGGCCTCTTTTCTTTTGAGGGCCCCATCCCTCCTGCTTCCCATTGCTTTCTGTGGGGGGGATTTATTGATCTACCTGTGGTTGTTGCTTTTACTGTTAAAGAAGTGTTTGTAAAGGAGAGCAGTTGTGGGGGCAGGGCGGTGGTGGGAGGGGTGCAGAAGCGGCTTATGAATGAGAACCTGGGGCAGGATGGCCCGTGGCTCTGGGACAGGCTGCTTGCCTCCAAGTTGTTGGCAGCGTCTCTGTGCTCACTTGGTGGCTCGGTGTTTGGCCCCAAGTTGGGGGCTTGGAGGGTCTATGGAGATGAGGCCTCAGACACACCTCTGCTGAGTGGGCACCGTCTCCCACCCGCTACTGGCAAAGACCTCCCCAGAAGGCCTGAGCAGGGCCCCAGGACCAACTTAATGATCTTGGTGAGGTTGTCCAGGAGCTGCCTCTAGTCCCCTGCAGACCCTCCCCCACCTCCAGTGAGGGGTGTCCCCAGTAGGAAGGAAAGCCCTGGGGACTGAGCGGCCCAAGTCTTGTGTTTTACCCTGGGGTCTCTGGTCCCTCTCTCCCCTCCCCCATTACCTCGATGGGGTGGGGGTGGGATCAGGCTTCCTGGCTTGAGGAAGGGGAAGGCCAGGGCTCTGATAGCCAGCTTCCCCGCCTGGGCCGAGACTGAGCACGACTGGCCTGCCTCCGGAGAGGGTGCTTCTTGCTTCTCCCCTCCCGTGGCCCCGAGGCCCTGGGGGGCTCTGTCCAGGCAGGGGCAGCAGCTCAGCTGGTGGGCATGTTTGGAGTCTTATCTGGATTTGAATTTGTATCGCAGCCTGGGCCCCCAGCTTAGGAGACCGGGCTGGCAGCCATCAGCCACTCTGCTCTTGCCCCCAGAGAGGGATGGATGGCCCACTTGGAGCACAGAACAAGGAGAGAGGCTGAGGTGGGGAGGCAAGAGGGTAGGTGCCTGGCTTCTAGTCTGACTCCTCATTCTTATGGGCTGGACCTAGCAGGTCCCCAGGGGCCAGCTGGCTGAGGTCCTGTCCAGGGCAGAACATACAAGGAAGGCAAGCCACTTGGGGTGGCCACTGGGGCTCAGTATCAGACCTCTTCCAGGAGGAGACCTGGGAACCCAGCGTGGGCACAGCCAGGGGAGGGGGTGGGAGCTGGGGTGTGACCAGGTCCTCTCCAGCGGTCCCCCTACTCAGGGAATTCAGCATCCCCTTGCAGACCTGATGCGAAGGGCTGCGGTCACCCAGCCGTTCTTGTCCCAGAGCAGCCATGCTTGTCTCAGCTCGAGGAGGTGAGGGGGAGGGGCTGAAAGAGATGGAGCCGACCCTCCTACCTGGCAGGGCCTTCCTCGGAGCAGAGCTGTGGCAGAGTGTTTCTGAAGCGCTGATCAAAGACCTGTGAGAAGTGGGGAAGGAGGGCTCTTGAGCGCAGAGGCTCCCTGGGGCTGTGTGTGTGTGTGTGTATGTCCTGTAACCAGGCAACCAGAGTGCTCGGCCCCCAGGCCTTCTGCCCCCCATGCTGCAGGCTGCATGGAGCCCAAGCTGCCAGGGCATAGCTGGGTTGGCAGCATTCATTCATTCATTCATCCACCCACCCACTCATTCACAGTCCCCTCATACGCTCATTCAGTTGTTCAGCAGAGCTCTGTTAATGAGGCTGCCAGGATGTGAGGACTCTGAGGATAAAACACAGCCTCTGTCCTAAGGGAGCTCCCCATCTGAGAGCTGAGGCCTGCTGTGGTTCGGGTGGGTAGGCCCCGTGGGGGCTGAGCCAGGGTCCTGGGTGCGGGGGCAGACATGCCTCCTGGAGTCCCAGACAGGAGCCAGAAATAGCCTGGTTCCAAGTAGCTTCTTGGGATGGGGACTGCTGGGACCCTGCCTGCCCAGGACCTGGTGCCCATGTGGCAGGGCAGGGCGGGGGCAGGGGCGGGGCTGTGGCCCAGCAGGCCCCTCGCTGCCTCTGCTCTACTCTGGGCCACTGCTTGGGCTCCCTGCTGTTTGCCAGTGAGAGGAGCACGGGAGACTCCTGGGGCCTGGGCTCTGCCAGGCTTCTGGACTGCCCGCTGAGAGAGCAGGTACATCCCAGCCACAGACTTCGGGCTGGAAGAGAGCCAAAGAGCCGTGGAAGGAAGAGTCAGCAGCCGGAGCAGGTGGCTGGGGCCACCCCTTGAGGGGCTCACAAGCCAGTTTGCTCCTTCAGCCCTAGAGGATGGTCAGTTCCTTCCTTCCTCGCTCCTTGCCCCTTGGGAAGAGTGTATGACGCCATAGAGAATTTAGGCGGTTTCAGACACAGGGTCATTGGTGGTGGCTGGGGCAAGGAGGGAACCTTGCCAGGGAAGGCACTGTGCTCTGGGGAACCCCAGGATCTTGGGTCTGCCCCTTTACTACTGAGAGCCTGTCGTTTTGCAGCTGGAAAGGGAAGTAAGCCCTACACTGCGGGTTGGTGAGGGAGTGAAGAGGGTGGGTGGAAGCTCCTGAGACGAGGGGTGCTGCCCACACCAAGCACCCGCTCTGGCTCTGAGAACGAGGGCGGGGTGACGCTCAGCTGGGAGCAGGCAGGGTCTCATCCCTGTCCCTGGGACACTGTCGGCTCGGGAGTGCAACAGCCTGCTTTAAATACCAGCTCCGCCGTGTATTAGCTGTTACTGAACTTTCTGGTGCCTCAGTTTTCCTGTCTATAAAGTGGACATGTTAGAGCCAACCTCAAGTGGCCCTGAGATTAACTGTGTAGAGTGCTAATAACCAAAAGTACAAATAAGAAGCACTCAATAGAGCTGGCTCCTTCTGTTACACTCAGGGCTGAGCTCGCAGTCAGCAGTGACTCTGGAGAGTACCCCTTGTGAAGCAGCCCTTCAGAGCCAGCCAAGAAATGATTGCCTTTTGGTTTGGAGAGGGGGCCTCTCCTTCGGGGGGCTGTCAAGCTGGTGTCAGCTGTCCCCAGGTTTTCTCCTGGGCCACAGCTCCAGGGACAGCCTGTGGCAGTGCCCCCCTGCGGTAGGCAGGGGTAACTGCAGGGCCATATTGGGTGGGGGTGGTCCAGGGAAGGCCTGATGCCCCTGCCATCTTGCCCCACAGATCTACCGGAGGTGCTGGCTGGTGTTCCGGAAATCCTCCAGTAAGGGGCCCCAGCGGCTGGAGAAGTATCCAGATGAGAAGTCAGTGTGCCTCCGAGGCTGCCCCAAGGTTAGGGGGCCTGGGCCCTAGCTCCCCCAACCTGTAAGCAATGATGATTTAAGAGTCCTGAGGTCTGAGAGCCCCCTCCTGGGGGTGGCAGAGCCGCGGGGGATGCAGAGGGAGGCATTCCAGCCTGGCTGAGTGCCTTGTGGATGCTGTCCCAGGTGACCGAGATCAGCAACGTCAAGTGTGTCACGCGGCTACCCAAGGAGACAAAGAGGCAGGCAGTGGCCATCATATTCACTGACGACTCGGCACGTACCTTCACCTGCGACTCAGGTGAGGAGCTGGGGCTGTAGGCCTCCACCCAGCCTCCCCCGGGACGCCGAGGTCCAGGGGTCCGGCCGGGAGGAGGGAGAGCAGGGCTAGCCCTGGCTGGGTATGACGCCTGGAGGTGGAGATGGGGGTAGGGGTGCCTTTGAGGGAGCAGACGCCGAGGATGAGGTGGGCCAGGTCAGCAGAATCCACTGGTCTTGCCCTCCCTACCTTGCCTGGTGGGATGACTCAGGCTGAGGCAGGGGGGTGGGCTGCTGGGGGAGCCTGAGCCGGCAGCATGAGGAGGGACCCTTTTCTCCAGAGCTGGAGGCGGAGGAGTGGTACAAGACACTGTCTGTGGAGTGTCTGGGGCCGCGGCTCAACGACATCAGTCTAGGAGAGCCAGACCTCCTGGCCCCAGGGGTGCAATGTGAGCAGACAGGTGAGGCCTGGTGCTGGCACTGGGGTGGGGGAGAGGGAAGGGGCTCCCCCAGGAAGCTCCAGGCTGGCTCATCCTTTCCCACTCCAGATCGTTTCAACGTCTTCCTGTTGCCCTGCCCCAACCTGGACGTATACGGCGAGTGCAAGCTGCAGATCACCCACGAGAACATCTACCTCTGGGACACACACAATCCCCGCGTGAAGCTCGTCTCGTGGCCCCTCTGCTCACTGCGCCGCTACGGGCGCGACGCCACTCGCTTCACCTTCGAGGCTGGCCGGTAGGACCCTCTCTTCACCCCCCATCCCACAATGGTCATGATGCTGGCTGCCATTCACTCTGTCAGGCACTGTGCTGGGAACTTAAGTTACTGATCAGCATAGCAGTCCGAGGGGGAACGTGCTATTCCCATTTTACAGATGACAGCAGGCAGCCCAAGGCTCAGGGTGCTTGGGCTCAAATCACATGCTGGCACCGGCATTTACTAGCTCTCTGATTGTGGACCTGAGTCACAGTGTCCTGCTCTGTCACATAGAGAAAATAAAAGTGCCTAACCTAGAATTCTGGTGAGGCCTGGGTATCCCAGTGCGTAAACTCTGGAGCCGGCGTGCCTAGACTTCAACTCTGTATAATCCTGTGTAACTTTGCTTAAGTCACTTACCTTCTGTATGCCTCAGTCTTCTCATCTGTAAAGGGGTTTGAGAGAACTTGGCATAATGAGGAGCCTGTAATAGCGCACAGACCAGAGCGGGCGGTGGAGACAAGAGAATGGGTTAATTCTCATAAAGCATTTAGACCACCACCTGGCACACTGGAGATGCTTGCACCTTTGAGCTGAGTGGTCAGACACCAGATGACAGCCCTGCCTGTTCCCAGAGGGCGGGGGTGCAGGAGAGCCCCACCAAGCAGGGGCATGTGCATGGTGGGGTCTCCGCCACCTTGCCCTCTGTGCTGCTTGTGTCCCCAGGATGTGTGACGCTGGGGAAGGGCTCTACACCTTCCAGACACAGGAAGGGGAGCAGATTTACCAGCGGGTCCACAGTGCCACCCTGGCCATCGCTGAGCAGCACAAGCGGGTCCTGCTAGAAATGGAGAAGAACGTGAGGGTGAGGCGGCGGGCGGCTCAGTCCAGGGTACAGGGGAGGCTGGTGGGTGGGCCAGCCAAGTGCCCGCAGGACGTCAGTGTCTGCACTTAGTGTCTACACAGGGTCTGGGGCTGGGGGCGGGCTCAGCAGGTAAACCACTGCCCCCAGAGCTAATGGGGGGGACCCCTCTCTGCCCCACAGCTGCTGAACAAGGGCACAGAACACTACTCATATCCCTGCACCCCCACGACCATGCTGCCCCGCAGCGCCTACTGGCACCACATCACGGGCTCCCAGAACATCGCCGAGGCCTCCAGCTATGCGGGTGAGTCCCTGCAGGGCCCGGCACTGTCCACGAGGCTCTGGGGCGGACACGGCCTTCTGGGTAGGGTCTTTTGACCCGGACCTGAGTCCTGAGCCTGCCTTTGTGTCCACAGGTGAGGGGTATGGGGCAGCCCAGGCCAGCTCAGAAACGGACCTCCTCAACAGATTCATCCTGCTAAAGCCAAAGGCCAGCCAAGGGGACAGCAGCGAGGCCAAGACCCCATCCCAGTGACCGCAGGGCTGGCGTGCACGGGTGACTGCTGGGGCTGTCAGTTGTGGGGCTGACTGCAGCGCAGTGGGCAGCCTCAAGGGGCTGTTAGCCAAGAGCCTGGAGAAAGGGAGCAAGCTGTCCCTTCCTTGCCCCCAAGGGGGAGGCTGGACCAAGGCAAAGGGCTGGCCACGCCACCTGAGCATGTGTGAGGGGCTGGAGCTACCATGGGACTGTATACTGTTCATGATTTTAATATATATGGCTTATGACATACTCTATATTAATGAGATTTCCCCGTCCCTCCCCGCCACAGCATACACATTTTCTAATCCCGTGAGCAGGCCAGTCAAGGCTGTTTCTGGACGGAGGGCAGCCGTTTCCCTGTCCTCCCTGGTACAGCCCTCCTGCTGCCAAGACCTGCTTGAGCTGCCAGGGCCAGAGGAGGGAGACCGCCGCTGACTGCTGGCTTTTCCCACGCAGCCCAGGGGCTGAGACAGCAGGTGGCTTCTCATCTCCTCTGGGCCTACAGCAGCACAGGAAGGATCCGAACTTACACTGTGCCACTGGGGTTTGATGCAGAGGTGATAGCTTGTTGACACCTCAGGTGAAAATCTGGTCTTAAAATGTAGTTTCTGCCCAGGCTCCTTCCTGCTTAGTGGGCTGAGAAGATACCCGGGGGTGGGGTGGGGTGCTGGTAACCTCAGCCAGGTGGAGGGTGGCGGGGCCAGTCCTGAGCTCTCCTGCCCCAGGGCCAAGCTCGGGGGGAAGGCCACAGCAGGAGGACTGATGTGGGGAGCACCCCTGCTGCCCCCTCACTGACCAGGGGTGGGCGTGCCCTAGCAGAGGGGGCCCCTCTGCCCTGTGTCTGGCCAGCCTAAAGCACTCAGAAACCGAGCCCTTCCTGTTTCCTCCTCCCCACATGGTGCTGAGGCTCCCTGCTGAGATGCAATTAAAGCAATTGATTTTCTAGCGCAGAAGGGCTATCTTTCTATTCACGTCAAACCTTCGGTTGCGTGTGTGTGGTTTTTTGTTTTTTTTTAATACGTTAGGGTTCTGATTTGTGGGAACAGACCTTGTTGTAAATAATCACTATTCAAGTTGTGGCAAGTTGAGAATGATAAAGCAAGAGGCCCCTTCCGACGGAGCCCTGGAGCCAGGGAGGCGGCCCCAGCCAGCTGAGCTCTGAACCTGACCCGGGGACGTCCACCCAGAGGATAAGCCAGCCTGAGGGGGGCCGGCGGCCTCGCCTGTGGAGAGGGAGGCACAGCTGACTGGTGCAGCTAGGGGCACGATGACGCATGAAGGAGATTATGTTGTGCTCTTTATTGCCAAAAATAAAAACTTTTAAAAAGACTACTGTTGATCGATAAATATCCTTTCTTTTCTGCACTGGATCTCTGGTTTTCTCCAGATATCTCCTGCCGGGCTGCCTAATTAACTACTTTGGGTATGTTCCTACCTACAGGGCTCAGGGGTCACTGCTACACCTTCACGAAAGGCCTTGCTGTTCCCCCCACAAACGAAGTAATCGGGCTACTGGCAGTGAAGTTGACAACCAACGGGTAGAGAGTGAAATACAAGGTTTATTGGGGGGGGCGAGGGAGGCGGACAGCCAGGGTCGTCTCACGCTATTCTCAAAGGCTTCTCTAATTAGGGACATGGGAGTTTGAGTGAAGTGCCGTGGGCTGGCCCTGGGCAGGGCTAGAAGGGTCTGTAGGAGCCTGGATGAGCGCTCTGGCGCTCAACCCTAACATCAGAGACCACAGGTACAAGTGTGGAAATTCCAACTTTGGACAGAAAGGGTTAGGAGAAAAGAGCTGAAATGACCAGAGGAGGACGACAGTGGCCCAGTGGTTCTCAACAGGGAAGCGGTGTGGCCGCCTCCAGGTGCACGAGGAGATGGGGAAGGGACGCTCTGGGGACTGCTGCTGGCAGTTAGCAGGCAGGGCCAGGGAAGCCCAACGGCCAGAAAACACTGTCCTGCCTCAAATCTCAGTGGCACCCCTGGTCGTCTACCTGTGACCGAGCAAGGCTGGGCTGGACTTCGCTCCCCGCTGCTACCCTCCTAACTGGTGGCTTGTCAAGAAGCTCGAGCACAGCTGCCCTCCCCAGTGCTGACGTCCCAGGAGAGACCTGAAATCCAGCCGCTGCTCTGACCCTTCCTGCCGAGGCAGGCAAGTGCGGCTAGTTGATAGTGAGGACGTCGCTCTGGATCTCGTGGCTTAACTGGGTCTGCAAGTCACTCAGCTTCTTCTTCAATCCAGAGAGGGCGGAGAGGACGATGGTTTCGGGGCGCAGAGAGCCACAGGACTCCACGTTGTAGTAAAACCTGAGAGGCGAGAGGCCGCAGAGGCCCTCGTGAGGCAGCCTGCTGAGCCCGAGCCTCAGCCACGGCCTCGCCTCCTCTGGGCCTTGACCCCTTTCCTACCAGGAGCTCGAGCTCGCGCTCGCCCCAAGGTTGACTTCCAGCCTTGTACAAACGGGTCCCCGCACATCTGCAGGACCTCAAGGGGGCTGCAGCTACCTTGAAAAGATACTGTAAAGCCTCAGAACCCCTCTGTATGGACGTATTCCACACTGAGGAGACAGTGCAAGATCAGGTGAGCAGCGTCACGGGCTCCGGCATCTACACGTTCGTCACCAGAAGACTTTGGTTGGGTTTTGGCCCGAGGCTGATCCCCTCCTCTGGGGGCTGAACATCAGAATAGGAACGGCTTGGAAGACTGGAGGGCTGGGCCCCTCTTTCTCACAGTGACCCCAAGGGATGACAATCTGCCCGGATGAGCACACCACGCGCTCAGCAGTTATCAGCCCCTCCTCAGCTCTCGGGAACTGGGTCTCCCCAGCTCAGAGCCTACACCTACCTGTGTGTTTTCACACGCTTTACCTTCAGCGCCGGGCCAGTGGCTTACCTCTCCGGCTTGCCGTTGGGGTCGTAGGGAGCCTGTGACTCATCCTCATCCAGCTCCGAGTACTCGCTCTTTGGCCTGGGGTCAAACACAGGTCAGCACGGGTTGGCCACTGCCGCTTTAAGGGCACCTCTGTCCAGTCAGCCTGCCCCATCTCAGCCACCAGGAACCCTTTCCACGCCAGCCACCCTAAATGCCCGCCTTCACTCCCAACGGGGACGTACCACTCCTCTGGCTTGGGGTACACTGTGTGCCTCAGGGCGTTGTCAGGATCGTATTCAAAGGCCACCCCTGCAGTAGGGTTCCACTTGGCATGCTCTTTGCCAAAGCCCTTTTTGGCATAGGCTCGAAGTCTCAGCTCCTGGCCCTTCCTCAGCTTGACGATGAGGATGTCTGTAGGGAGAGGCATGAGCCAGTCAAGGGCCGAGAGAGGTTCGGCCCTCCAAATTTTGAGCTGGAATGCCGCTAGAAGACCAGGCAGCACGAGAGGCTGCGTCTGCTTTCCACCCCTCCGCTGGCCTGCAAAGTGACAGGTCAAGTGGACACCTGCCCTCACTTGAGCCCTTACCGTCCTGCTCCACATAGTCGTTAGGGTCATTATCTCGGTTCCGGGATGTCACCTGTAGGGAGCCCAAACAGAGGCATTATTAGCTGCTCGTGTCCCCAGTCACCTCTTCCTGCAACCCCCTTCCAGCACCTCCAGGTTGCAATCTGCCAAACCAGGGAAAGGGAGCCTGGGAGGAGGCGGGAGAAGTGCGTACCGGGACCCAGTCTGAGCTGGTGCCTGGACTCCAAGCCCTCCTTCACGGCTTTGTGACAGCCTTCTCAGTAAAACAGTACCATGGCCTCTAAAAGGGTCCTTGGGGCACAGAGGGGACACGACAGCAACAAGCTCCGGCCCCGTCCCCCCCGCCCCAGCAGAGTCCAGAACTCCCAGCGCTTCTAGGCGCCAGGTTCAGGCCATGGCAGAGGTAACGCAGGCAAGTCAGTGTCTCAGAAGAGGTCAGCCCAGTCTGGCCCACTTGGGGCCAGAAGGAGAAGAGCAAGGGTCCCGGGGAGGGAGGACGCTCTTAGACACTGACCGGAATGACCCGGGGGCTGTTGGAGATGAGGTCGCGAGACGTGACGTGGCGTGTCTGGTCTTCGTTGCAGCGCACGTCGAGAGTGAACTCCACCGAGCACTCGGGGCAGAACTCCTCACACGTGCAGTCCTGAGGCAGCAGAGAGGCAGGGTGAGGCTACGGAGACCGGCAAAGCCCACGCTGCGCGGTCCCGAGGCCAGTCCTTTCAGTCTCCCATCTGGGAGAGGGGTGATCACAGTCTGCAGGCCCTGTGGGCCGCGTCAACCTGGTGCCACGTTCTCAGGCCGCTCAAGTGCGGGCGCTCCCCAGTTTAGAGACGACCCATACATGCTGGCACCACGTCCCCAGCCCCACCCCGGCTGCCAGGCCACCACGGGAGCCGCACTGTGAACCTCTCGCCCCTGGCCGCGGAGGGCCCTTCCTCAGAGAACCAAGGTGGGGAGGGGACTCTTTCATACTCCACCGTCAGCCTCCCATGAACTAAGTGGACTAGCTCGGGAATGGAATCATCGTTTAAAGTAAAACGCTCAGGGAGCAGGGAAAAAAGCAGCTTTCAAGTTCCAGACTACTGACCTTTTCTAAAAAAGGAAAACGGCATACATTCACAAAAGCAGAGAAGAGTGCAACAGACAGCCCCTGTGTAACTGTCACTCAGCTTCAGTAACTACCAACAGTGTGCCACTCTGCGAACGAGTGAGTCCGGGAACAGCCCATCCCCTTGGGAGGGACTATCTGCTACAATTCAGCTCAGGCAAGAGGACAGTGACCAGAAGGCAATCAGGCAAACCGCTCTCCTCACCCCAGCAAGCAAAAGCCGCCCGACTTCTGATGTTTTCAAGACGAGGAGGGAGAGATAGACGCCGCCACACACAGGCGACGCGGGAAGGCCACCCAGACCCTCGAGACCGAGTCTCTTAGTAACGAAACGAAGAACCAAAATGTAACAGAAGACAGAAATATGGAAAGGCACTCAATCTCAAAAAAAAAGCATAATGAAAGGAGAGGAGTCTGTTCGAGGTTAAAAGACACTAAAGAGGTGTAACAACCAAATGCAATGCGTGAATCTTTACTGGATCACGGACCCACAAACGAAAAACAATTAAGGACATTTTGGGGACAACCAAGAAAATCTCAGTGTGGACTGTATACAGATAGTACCTATTAATGCTAATTTTCTTAGGCATGATAACAGTGTGATTATGTAGGAAAATATCCTTATTTTTAGGACACGCATACTGAAGTTGTTAAGGGAGAAGTAACTTTCTTTCAATGGTTCAGCAAAAATAACAAAATATATATATAAAATAAAGCAAATGTAGCAAAATATTAAGAATTGGTAACCACAGGTTTAAAGCAAATGAGTATTTACCCTTTTAAACTTTTCTGTAGATTTTCAGAAAAAGCAAAACAAAACACCATACCCTCTTTGTTCAGTAAATGTAATACTAGAAAACAACGAAATGGAAAGAACTGGCAGGTCACAGGGCATGCATATCTTTATGTAAGTAAGATACTGCCAAACTGCTCTTCAACTGGTTGTATAACTGTTCCTACCAATATGTATGGTTTTTTTTTAAAGATTTTATTTTTCCTTTTTCTCCCAAAGCCCCCCAGTACATAGTTGTGTATTTTTTTAATTGTGGGTCCTTCCAGTTGTGGCATGTGGGACCCCGCCTCAGCACGGCCCGATGAGCGGTGCCACGTCCGCACCCAGGATCCGAACCGGCAAAACCCTAGGCCGCCAAAGTGGAGTGCGCGAACTTAACCACTCGGCCACAGGGCCGCCCCCACCATGATGTTTTATTTCTTAAAAACAAAGTCTGGAGATGTGAAGCAGCTATGTCAAAACGTTAAAACGAGACAGGCGGTTTGTGGGAGCATGAGTATTTGCTATATTAGCTCCACACTTTGCTGTGTGCTTGAATATTTCTTTTAAAAAATACATGTATATTTACCAAATTCGCCACCAAAAAAATGACACGCCCTTGGAATATCAGAAACTAGGTGGATTCAGGATCACACAAAGCCATCAGGAGGGAACAGTCTTAAGCTGTCACCCGACACAGTCTTGGTCAAAGGATGCAGCAGCCTAGTTATGTCACACTCCCTCCCTAGTCCAAGGCCTGTTAACCATCATCAGGGAGCAAACACGGCCCAGGGGAAGGGAGCCACGTTTAACCAGCAGAATCTAGCGGGTGATGCACGAATCTGGCAGACACCAGGACTCCAGGCCCTCAGGTCCCTCTGTGGGACAGTTCTCACTCCCTCTGCTCCTGTCCTGCCCCACAAGCTTCTGTTGACTCCCTTTAGCCTCTTAGGCCCGTTACTGGAGCCTCATCAATCTGAGGCCCCATCAGCACCAAGGACACCGCCTGCCCTGGGCTCTAAACAACATCTCCACATTGTCCTTCTTAAAGCTGAAAGAAAGATGTCCCTCTGAGAACTGAAGTCCCCTGCCTCCCCCACCCTTGACCCCGATCACGCAGCATACCCGGGAGTATTGCAGCTTGTCCACAATGTCGTCACTAGTGAGGGGGATTAATCCTGGAAGACACAGAAAAGCACTTTAAAGAAGGCCAAGGGGACAAGCCAAAAGGAGAATCCACAGTCCCCTTGGGAGGGAGAGGCTTCCTCTTCTGACACCAGGCACAGCCACCTCCCTCTAACTTCCCCACACCTGGCACTCACCGAGCCTGTGTGCGATGAACTCGTCGTGAAGGACTGACGAATTGGCATCAATCTGAACCCAGTCAATGGCTAAAAAATGAAGGAGGCAGAGAAGCGGACAGGCAGTCAGCCACCAAGTTCCCCCAATGACTTAGCGCAGTGCCCTCCAGGGTTAGGAATCACCTGATGCTCACCACCCTGCAGAGGCCTGGGCCCAGCTGCCAGTCTCTGATTCCCCAGCTTGAGGGTGGGCCCAGGAATCTGCATTTTAACAGGAACCACATGCCGCACTCCACTTCCCTGCTCAGGCGGACTTAACACAGGGAGCTCCTTCTACCATACAGAAAAGCACCGACTTCGAGAATACACGGGAGAGGGCATGTGTTTCTTTGAGTTGAGTATTTCCAGGAGAAGCATTTAAATCTGCTATTCAAGCCAACACCAAATTCAAGAACACAAACTATTTGGGCACTTAAAAGTTGGGAAAACCTTACAGAAGTAACACAGACTTAGGGTCCATATTTCGTTTTATGATATAATGACCAGAATACCCAACTTAACACTTTATCATCACTCAGTTAACTGTTTACAGAACTCCTATAACCAGCAAGGCACGCTAAGTATAAAACCCGGTCCCTACCAGCAACGAGCTAGCAGCGGGGCAAGGACTGTACTGGCACAAACACACTTGACTTAAACACGTTTTCTCATTCATTCATCAACAAACATCTGCACGTAAACAATTATATTCAGAAATCAAACGGCATGGGGGCCGCACTGCCAAATGAGGGGCCCGGACACCAGGAACAGAAGTCAGACGAGGCCCAGATAGCCTGCTTTGTCCCATGCTTCCTCCTGCTTCCCCCACCCACCCAAGCCAGACAAGGACCATGAGCCAGGCTTTTCCGCCCCTGCCTCTTTCCGCCCTGGCCCCCCACATCCAGCCTCAGGTGCAGGTCACAACCCTCTGGGGCTCCCATAAACCACGCCTGTGGGTCTCCATGATACAGGCACTATCACTGTCTCCCTGTGAGCTCCTCCCTCGCTAAAGCCTGTCCAAACTCCTCTGCAGCCACCTGTCATATTTTGCCTTGCATGGTATTCGTGTAGGTCTTGTCTCTACCTCAAGCTTCGAAAATTGCTAGGGGCAGGGTCTTCAATGTCTTGAGTGTCCTAGCTGTGGGCTGGAATGTAGCGGACGCTCAAGATTATTTGCAATACTGAGTTTGTGGGAAAAGTGGCATTTAGACTCAGAATGTCAGGCCTGCATCACAAAGTACAACTCCCTCAGTCCACTCACGAAACTGAGGCCCAGAGACATGGAGTGATTAGGCAGAGGGAGGACCAGCACTCCAAGCTCCGCATTGAAGAAGTGATTGGGGGTGGCAATGGTGGAAAGCCTACAATGTTCTCCTGGTTACCAATCACTCGGTCTGCTTATTTCCTTAGGAGTCTGCACAACTGATGCAGCAACTATGGCTTCGATTTCTTTTTTCTAACCCAAACTCTCTGAGCCGACACTCAGAAAATATCTGTAATATATCGGTAAATATGTAAACACCTGGAGCCAGGTGGCTGGAACGAGAGCAGGAACAGACCTTCCCTCCTCTAAGCGCCAGCAGCACTGCCACTGATGCAAGTCCGGCTTGCATTAGTGCTGTCTGTGGACCCGCCCCTCCCCTGTAACTTCACTGCCAGCTCCATCCAGGAGGGAAAGAACCGGTACTGTCCAGCTGGCATTCCCACGCCGGGCACCACGGCCTGGCACTTATGTGCTCCATAAACGCAGTAGAAGGAAGTGACTCCCAAAGACCCATCTACCAGCACTGGACACTCACGGAACGCACGGCCCTCACAGAGATCACCTCACTTAGTCCCTGACGTCACCCTGATAACTACTATGGTTCACAGTCTAACAACCCGCCCAAGCTTCACAGAGTGGGCACGGCACTCGAACCTGCGTCCGCAGACTCCTGAACCCACGCTCCCCACCCACGCGTGTGTAAGAGTGGGCGACGCGGCCCCTGAGCCAGGGAGGTGGCCAGAGGGGGTTCCGGGCCGAGGGCACCGCCGTTTCCCGGACCCCCGCCGGCCCGGACCACGGTGGGCAGGAGGCCCCGGCGCGCGGGGGCCCGGCAACCAGGGCCGGGTTCGCTTACCTATTATGGGCACTTCGGCGATGAAGACCCTCCGAATGGAGTTGGCCACCCTGAGGGATGCAAACCGAGCGGCGTGAGGGGGCCGCAGCCTCGAAGGCCGCCCCGCCCGCGGGCCCCAGACGAGAGCCCGTCCCACTCCCGCCCCACCCCCGCCCCCCCGGGCCCGGCGCTCCGAGCCCCGGCCTCCTCCCGCGGCGGCCTTACGCCAGGTCCGTGTTCTCGATGATGAACTTGACATTCTCGTCGGTGAGCTCCGTGATGCGCACGGTGGGCTGGTTGGCGTAAGGCATCGCGCCCCGCCGCCCCCGGCGCCGCGCCCGGAAGTCGGTCCGCGCGGCCCCGCCCCTTCCGCCGCAGCGCGCTCGCAGCGCCCCCTGCCGCCCGGAGGCCGCCGCCGCGCATCGGCGTTAAGGCGCCAGGTTCAACCGGCGCGGACCGGGATTTGGCCAAACATGCGCACGCTCTTGACTCAACAGTAACACGTCTGGGAATTCCTACTGCAAAAACACTTGCAGTTGTAAGCCAAGATAGCGTACAGGGGCGTTCGCTGCCGCACTGTTTGTAACGCAAAAGATAAAACAAATTGCCCACTGACAGAGACCTGGTTAAATACACGAATATAGGAATACAATGACGCCTTAGAAAAGAATGAAGTAAATTTGTACGTTAATGGAGAAACAAAGTATACTTTGGCAAAGTGTAGTTGACTGATGGGTACACATCCTTCCAGCCCCACGTCCAGATCCCACTCTTCCGAAACTGCCAGAAAATACAATGCTCTTTACTTTAACGTACCATCCATGGTTCTGTGTAGTGGTGGTGGAGGGGTGGGGCCCTTCGTCTCTGCATCCCCAGCGCCTTGCAGCGTGCACCTCATAGGGTGAATGCTCCGTGAGTAATTACCATTCCCCTCATCAGCCTGAGAGAGGTTTGAATGGGGCTCAAAAAGGTGGCAGCTGCTCATAGAAAGAGGCTCTAAAATAGGACTTGGCTGGAGCTGCACTTAGGGGGCAGAAGAGTAATCAGAGAGGAGATGGAGGAGTTTGCCTTAGCAAAGAGCGCCGCCTCTCCCTGAGACAGAGAGAAAGGGCACTGGGGGGCCCCTGTTCCCCAGCCTGTGCTATCTCAGTAAATTAAGAATAAAGGTTGCCTGTGAGTGTGAGAGGGATGCTAAAACGATAAAGGAGAGAGTGGAATGAAATTTGGAATGACCACTGCAGGAAACTTGACCGAGTGTCGAGAAACAGAATTAGGTGCAGATAGGGCCAGCGGAAAGCCCACAAGAGCCTGGAAACACCTATTAGCTCAGACTTCCCCCACCAACGCTCAGTCACCTCAGGCAAGAGACAGGAAAGCAGAAGACACGCTAGACTGCATTGCGTCCCTCCAACAGGTTGAAGCCTAACGCCCACCGTGATGGTATTTGGAGACGGGTCTTTGCAAGTTCATGAGGGTAGGACTGGCAGGACGGGATTAGGGCCCCTATAAGAACACGAGGCTCCAGAGCTCTCTCTCTCTCTCTGCCACATGAGAAGACAGGAAGGTGGCAAGTCACAAAGCAAGTCCTCACCAGGAACTGAACTGGCTGCTACCCTCATCTTGGCCTTCCCAGCTTCCAGAACCATGAGAAATAAACGTGTTTTTTTAAACTGTCCAGCCTCTGGTGTTGTGTCATAGCAGCCGGAGCAGACTAAGACAACAGTTAGCCAGACTCGCCGAGGGAGCCCCGTGTGGAGGCGGAGGAGATCACTAAAGCTAGAGAATGTACCACCCAACTGGTTAGTGACAGACAACAGCCAAGGGAGCTAATGGTGAGGAGGAAGGCTCCTGTCGCCCACACTGCTTATGGGAAGCCTGGCCCAGAGATGCAGAATTGACAAAATTTCACACCAGTATTAGGCAGCACCAGAACGAGAACCCGGGTCTCCTGGCTGCTGGCCTCAAGCCTTTTCCACAACACTGTTGTCTCCCTCTGGGGTCGTGGACACCTGCCACGGTCGGTATGGAAACTACACAATAGGAAACTGCTTCAAACATATTTATTATTAGTTTTAGACTCTAAGTTCACTAACAGTCCTGCAATGCATGCTGGTGTAATGCAACACCAGGCCTGGGACCACACCTCAGGCCAGGCTGAGCACCACTGTCCAGCAGGCACCTGTCTCAGGTGAGGCAGCTTTCTGGGGGGTTCCCAGGTGCAGCATCTCAGGACACCAGAGAGGCAAGGGGCTGCAGGGACACCTGTGTGCACGTGTGTGCCATGCTGGGGGTGAGCTGCCACCTTGTGGTGGCTTAGATCCTGACTCCGACTTGGGAGCCCCAGAGAGCATTTCTAGGAAGCTTAAGTCATGATCAAGGTGTCTGTGAGACCATGACAGGGACGTGCTGGGTTTCTGTGGCTTGAGTGCTTGGACGAGAGCCTCAGTTTTCAGTCACACAGCTGCAATGCAGAAAGGCATCAGGAGGCAGGCCTGGTATGAGGGACTGAAGAAGTCCCCCAATCCTGGGCTACCACTGTATCCTCAAGTGCCCTGTGGTTCCCAGGTGGCTGTGGTGGTGATTCAGGTCCTTCGGTGTTTTCTCATTAACACCATCTTCTGTGGATGGCACTTTGTATTTCAAAGCCCTTTAAATATATCTGCGGGTTTTCTTCTGGGGGCTCCAGCTTACAGCCCTTCCTGCTCACCGGCGCTGGTTTAGACCCGTCAAGTTCTTGAGCTGAAACAGGGACGGGACCAGAGAGAGTGATGAGGCCTTGCCCTCCCTCTAGGACTCCGACAGGAAAGATCAGGATTTCCAAGGTGGCAGGTGCGGCTATGATACACAGATCTGACATACCAGGGTCCCAGGCGTCAGTGATGTTTCTTAACACCAATAAAAAATAAAGAGGTGGGGTATTTGGGACCAAGAAACTGGGGCTGAACTACGGTTAGTCTTACTATTAGCTTTCCAGTTTAAGGTTTTTGGAGCCAGTGACACCTGTAAGGCTCACAGGGCGGGAGGGGGAGGGCAGGGATGAGCTGGGGGTACTCACTGTCACTGCTGCACCCATGAGTCCTTGTACCAGGGCCTCTCCAGTGGACTTTACCTAGAAGGAGTCAGAGTCAGGCTCTCTTAGGCCCCCTACACAAGTGCAAAGGAGAGACAGGTAGGACAAATCAGGAGACCTACGAGCCCCAATAGGCAGAGTCAAGAGGGCCTTGCTGGGGGCTGGCCCAGTCGCGTAGTGGTTAAGCTTGTGCACTTTGCTTTGGTGGCCCGGGGTTCGTGGGTTTGGATCCTGGGCATGGACCTACACACCACTCATCAAGCCATGCTGTGGCAGCATCCTACGTACAAAAAATAGAGGAAGACTGGCACAGGCTTAGCGACAATCTTCCTCAAGCAGAAAGAGGAGGACTGGCAACAGATGTTAGCTCAGGGCAATCTGCCTCACCAAAAAAAAAAAAGAGGGCCTCGTGTACTGGAGGAAGAGCCCCTGGACAACACAACCACAAATGGGCCAAGTGTGGCTCTCAGGGAAGGGCTGGTGTGAGGAAGAGCCAGTCAGGCTCCCCGGGCAGGCCCTCAGAACTGTCAGTTGAGGTCAAGGGGAGCAAGGGAACAGACAGGTGGCCAGCTGTGGCCTGAGGAGGGCAGAGCACCTAGTGAGGCTTCCCAAACGGCGAGCCCCAACTACCTGCTTGGCAGTGTGGCCCATGTTCATTGCGTCGTTGATCCGGTTTTCCAGGAAGCGCCACGTGTCCTCGAAATCTGGGGAGGTGTCCTGCATCATCACCAGCTCCGTCGAGTTGTAGACGCCAGCCAGCACAGCTCGGCGGGCATACCAGCTCAACTGCAAGGCAGCCCACCCAGGGAGCGGGTCACCACGACTGCTGTGGGCTGGGAGAAGTCTGGGGCAGCTCCTGCCCGAACCACGGGCACTCAGGGGCTCCCTCCGGATTTCTTCTTTCCCTCACAGATACCTATGGCCCTCTGGACAACCCTACTGTTCCCAACTTGGCTGGGCATCAGAATTACCCGGGAGACTAAAGTGCAATCTCCTGGGCCCAACCTCGTAGAGTTTAGAGTCAGTGGGTCTGAAGTGAGTGCCAGGAATCTGGATGTTCAATAAGCACCCCGGGCGATTCTGCTACATCCAGTCCGTTTTGGACCCGCTGGTGAAAAGCCAGTCTTAGGACATCGAGTTTCGAGGGGGCTCTGTGGTGAGCCGGGTACGACCGAACCTTGGTGTGCTCATCAGGAAAGCGAGGGCTGAGATGGGATCATGGACAGATCAGAACACATGGCCAGAGTCATGTTCAAGGCCCTCAGCAACTTCTGACTGTCCCGGCAACCAGGCCAGAGCACTAGCTCAGCTGCCTCGTGTTTTATTCCCTTAATTTCTTTGCTTTCTGATTTCGTTTTCCTGCCATCTCTGCTGGTGGTATGTTCCCACAAAGCAAAGTTTATTACAGCACTTTGTTAGAATGGTGGTGGGAGGACCTCGTTGCCTCCCATCCTGGATCCCACAAAGTACCAGCACATATTAATGTCTTTTATGAAGGTATGCTGTTTAAAACAATTTCCTAACAGAAAAATAACAGCATTAACAAGTCCGATTCTTTCGTAGCGCCTGTTTAAAGGCTTACTGATCTCAGCAAATTAGGCCGAGATGGGCCGGGCGAGGGAGTTTCTTTTTAAGGCAATGGGTGTCTCGGCAGCATTCTTTTTTTTTTAAATCAGTCTCATGGAAGACACACATTGAGAAACTCTGCTGCAGAATCTACCCCTTAGGAGACAGGGGAAATGACTCTGAAACGGCAGCCCCATCACCAGGCCCTCTGACACCCTGTCACCACTGTAGGTCAAAAGGAATGATCGCTGTTCTGCAGCTAGAGTGCTGACCTAAGGGAAGCAGACCTAGGCCCCACCGTGGCTCGACGGGGGGCTCTCCTCGTACCTTAGCCTCTCCTGACCAAGATGGGAATGACACTGCAGGCCCCCTGCGGGGATCTGTGATCAAAGAAATTTCACTAACTCTGTGAAGAAACGTTTAGCCCAAGCCTTTCTCAGTATCCCGTGGGCCTGCAGAAGCACTCACGTCAGTGGACTGGTCCCCAGCATAATGCCACATGTCGTCCACCATGCTGGTGAGCAGGTTCAGGCTGGGCAGGATGTTGTGAGGGAGCATGAGGATGCCGAGGGCCTGAGGAGAGAATGACAGAGGACTAGGTACTGTGCACAGGTCACAACAGCACAGAGATGGCTGGTGCCCCACCTCTCCAGGGAGGGAGGTAAGGGGCCTGCCCAGCTCTGACACCCCACCTCCACTCGCTGATGTGAGCTCCTGGCAGCTAAGAGCCATAATACAGCTGACGGAGCCAGGGGCAGAGCTCCCCAGCTGCCCCAATCAGATTCTCAATCCTTCGCATGTGGATTTGGGATGCAGACGGCTGGAGGGTCTGCCTGGTCTCTGAGCACGGAGAGCAAGGGTGGGGGAGGGCACTGCATTCTGTAACATGGAGGAAGCAGCAGACGTAGGAGGGGAGTCTGGGGATGGTCTCTAAATCCAAATTCTAGGCACTCCCAGGGCCCAGGAGCATTCCTACCCTTGATGCCCCCCTGCAGCCTCACAGTAAATTCCTCCCTGATTTTTTGCTTAACTCGAGTTGATTTCTGTTACCTGAAACCAAAAATCCTTCAAGTAATACAAGCGATGGCACAACCCAGAGACGCCTCCATTAGCAGACACCATCCACCCCAGACAGTACGAGTCTTGCCACTCCACCATCTCTAACACCCAGTGGCTGTGGCCTGTGGGAGCCGGCCAGAGAGGTCCCAGATTGGCTGGGAAGGTTCTCTTAGCAAGCAGCCCAGAAGGAAGCGTGCTGAACGAGGCAGCCGAGGCCCAATACATGCACTGCCACTGCATTAACTGTGAGCTGGGCCGAGTCAGGCCGGAGGCCTGAAACCAAGTGCGGCAAGCACAGGCAGGGGACGGGACTCAACTCTCGGCTGTACTCCCTTCACACCCCGCCTGGGGTGAGGCGCACGGCAGGTGTTCCAATGTCTGTCGACTGACTCACTGAAATTGCCTGCTCAGCCATCGCCCAGCTGGGCGGGGACACCAGATGGTCCCACTCCTCTCTTCTCTGATGCGCTTTGACTGTACTTTCTTAACTGAGAGAACGGGCCACACTGTGACATGCTTTGAAACAGGAGAAAGGAAGCTTCAGAAAAGGGGGGAAAAAGCCCTTGGAATGAATACCCCAATTCTCGAGCATCACACTGACAATGTGAAAAGAAGTCCCGGTCCTCCGAGATCTAGAACACGACAGGCCTGGTAAGGGACGACGGCCAATAAAACCGTCTGACTCTTCTAATCTGCTTCACGGATCCCTCCTCACCGAATACCTGCTGGCACGCTCAGGCCACTAAGAGCTCCCCCAGGAGGTGACCCGGTGCCCCGGCCACTCCCACTTCCAGGAACCGAGACAGACGGCTCAGTTACTCTCTCTGGCACTCTCAGATTTGAAGCTAGCCCTGCCCAGTACACTGAGCACCCCTGCGACGTGGAGATCAACAAGCTAACTTCTGAGCCGTGTGCAAGGCCCTCTGAGGGAAAGGTGACGAAAATCAGAAACACGACGACGCTGTTGCCCTGGGCCTGGATCTGGACTCTGTACCCGGGGCCAGTGCTCGATGTACGGGATCAGCATTCTCAGTCTGGTTTCCACCGCGTGCCTCAGGAGCTGGTCTGTCTTCCTCTTCCTGGAAGAGGGAAAAGAAAACAGTGTCGCTGGGTCAAAAGCATGGGCTCGGTGCTACCTGTTCCCTCAGCGGGGAGGAGGTCCGCAGTTCCTGACGCTGGCCTGACCACAGCTGTGCGACACAGGCGGCTGCGTTTTGGTCCCATAGGAGCAGGAGGGCTGCTCAGTGCTACCCTCTTTGGCTCTGCTTGGATCGGCCTCCTGGGGACGGCTGTGGGGCCTGAGTCCCTGGATCCTTAGCCGCCACCCCGAGCAACACTGCCATGGGACTTACTCTGCCTGGCCCAGCTGTACCAGCTTCTGCTCCTCTTCCAGCACACGGGTGAGCCGAGCGTTGCACTGGGTCACAAAATGCAGTATCAGCTCACTGCCATCACTCCCAAACATGTTGGCCGCCGCACTGGAGAGACCCAGAGACTGCGAAAGGGGAGAGGGACACAGAAGAGTGGTGGGCAAGAGCAGCGGACACCGGCTGTCTGCTCAGCGTGAGTGCTCCTCTAGGAACAGGAGCCTGGTTTTCAGCGGACACCCCCACTCTTCCTCCTGGGTCCGTGTGACCTGGGTGAAGCTGCGCACCAGGCCCTCCACACTCCATCAAGCCCCTTGGTGTGTTGCAAAGCACAGACCCAGACATGGATAATGAGTTCATGGCGACTAGCTAAGGGATGTGCATGTGACCAAATAAATCCAGGCCCTAAGAGGCCGCCTCAGGACCTTTGCTAATACTGATGGGAAAGAGGTGCTCTCTTTCCACTGGGGCTGCTGAGCCCTCCTTAGTCCTGCATGGGAAGCCCCTGCTGGGAATGAAGCTCACAGAGCAGAAGGCAGAGCAGATACGTCGGAGAAAGGGCTCCCGGCAGCACAATCTAATGCGGGGCCAGGGAGGCCTCCAGACTTCTCTGTCGTTAAGTGAGCCAGACACTCCCTTTCTCGCTTGAGCCAGTTAGAGGTGAGCTCTGGCACCTGTGACCTAGAGTGCTAACAACATAAAAAGAGGCTGGGCAGGAGCACTCACAGCTCTCCTCCTCACCAATTCACTTAGCCTACATCTCATAGAAGTTAGGTCTCTCAGCCATTTAAGAAAAGAAACAAAACTTTTCTTACAAAATTTTTCTTAACGAGCTGTCACGGAGTTCACAGAGCCACAAAGATCCTCTGCTATTCCTGATATAGGGCAATCACTGAGCAACTACTGGTGGCAGAACCCTGAGAGCAGCAGGGACAGAGGGCAGAAAAGGAACAGAAGAAACATCAACTCTCAACTCCCACCGCTGGGAGCGGGAAAGGGGCTCTTTTAGGGGAAGAACACAGCCCTCTGGAGAGCAATGAGGCACGTTCACATCCACATGGGAGTGGAGCAGCATCAGGACGAATGGTGACCGTGAGCTCACCGTGCGCCAGGCACCCTGCTAAGTGCCACACACACACCATCTCACTGCAGCCTCTCGGCACTCCAGCCGGCGGGGATTACCATCATCCACAGTTTACAGAGGCAAACGGGGGCTTCCAGCCCGTAACCGCCAGGCTAGACTGCCTCCGATACACACGTCACAGGAACCTCAAAAACATCCGCGCTCTCCGGGCCAGTCGCTGAGTTACTGTCCCTCAGCTCCCAACCTGCCCTCCTTTCCTTGGCTTCGGGACGCAGGGGGGGGCTCTGCAAACCACGCTGCTGGCTCCGTGGGGGGCTCTCTGCCAACAGGGTCGCTGGAGGGAGACTGCGCGGCTGGAGGAAGGAGGGACTCGCTCCTTCCTGTTGACTTATCTGCTAGTGGTGTGTGAGCGCCAGCCCGGGGTTGCTCCTTCACCGTGGCTGCTCCTTCACCGTGGCGGCAGCTGAGCCCGGGCTGCGGTTCTCCCAACACCTGCAGGACAAGCTCCTCCTCTCCCTGCCCTCCAGCCACTCCACCACTCCTCCAGCCCCCACAGGTCGCGTGCCAGCCCCAAGGGACTCTTCCTCCAACTTAGAGACACCAGCGCCAGCGGGGCAGCACCTCCCCCTCAGAGGTCTGGGTCTCACCTCCACGGGGCCTCTCCTTCAAGCTTCCAGTTTTAGTAATTCCAACTCTGCCCTTAGCGCTGGGGATGGAGCCACTTCCTGCAATTGCTCCTTCCATATACCTTCGTGGTTTTTTTTTTTTTCCAGTTACCTAGTTACCAACCTTACACCTATTAACAATTCTTTGTATTAAATTCTCTCTGTCTGAACAACTGGTGTAGTTTCTAACTCCTGATTGGTTCTCTCCCTGAAAGACCAACTCCACTTCTTGGAATTTGTCCTGAAGAAACCAACCAGACTCAGAACTAGAGTATACAACTAGGCTTTGGGGAGAGAAAAAAAAAAAAAAAAATTGGCAACAGTTGTTAGCTCAGGTGCCAATCTTTAAAAAAAAAAAAAGAACCCAAGCAGAAATGTACTTAAATATGCTGTACAAATGGGTTTATAACACTAAAAAACTGGAAACAATCCAAATGTTTATCAATTGAGTTCAAGTAAATACAACAGGTATTATGCAGCCACTATAAACGGAGAAACGCAGAGTGAAAAAAGCCAAAGAACCATAGAATATTCAGTATAATCATATCTTTCCAAATAATCCTGCTACATTTCTGGCCTCTACTGGTTCCACAACTTTCTGCAATGATTCTTTCCCACCCTCTCCACGACCTCCCGACCCTTGTCTCCTCCCACTCTTTCCTACTTCAGGTTCACGAGACAACCACACCTACACCACAGGGAAAAGAGCCGCTATCCCTGGGAACTCCCCCAAGGTTCCGCAGCTGTCTCCTCTAACTTGGCCCCTAATCCACCTAGGGCCAGCCCTTCCGCCCGCTGTCCCGTCTCACAATCCTGGCCTCCAAGGAAACTCAAGCCTGATTTTGCCACTTTCTCTTGTATCTTCGCCCTCACCTCGCTTCTCTCCCATCAGTGTTCAAACGTGTTCAAACTCCCAGCCCACTTCCCCTGCTTGGCACACACCTCCACAGCCAAACGCCTCTCCACTCCCTTACCCTTTACTCCCCAACCCGCTTGAGTTATTCCTGACCCGGTACTCCCCCGAGATGGCCGCTGCCACAGCAACCAACATCCAGTTGCCTAACCCGCATTCTCCCGCGCTGCCTCCAACACCAGGCTCCTCGACCTCTGTCGTCCAGGCCAGCTCGTCCTGTTCTTCCCACCCTCAAATGCCAGAGCCCTGAGGGCCCAGACTCCTGTCCTCTCACATCACACTCGTGTCACCCTAGGCAATCTCACTCACTTCTGTGGTTTAATTACCATGTACATATGTTGATAATGCCCAAACACGTACTCTAGTCCAGATACCTCCTCAAGTTTTAGACTTGCGTGCTTCAGGGGCCCCCTTGTTGACCCAAAGATCCTTTATACTCAACAAAGCTCCAGATTGTACCCATGATCCTTCCCCAAACCTGGTCCTCTTCCGGTGGCCCTAATCACAGAAAACAGCACCAGGTACCCATACATGCAAACCCGCAACTCTGGTGCCATCTCATCACTCTGTCACTACATCACCAAATCCACCCACTTGTATCCACACTCACTGCCATTGCTCCAGGCAGAAAACCCTCATCTCTCCCGCATGACTGGCAGCAGCCCGCAGTGACTGCCTCTAATCCATTTTCAGCCAGCAGCCAAAATGGTTTTAAAACGTCAAATGTAATCCTTTATCTTCAATCATTCTTAGAATAAAAGCCTAACTCCTTAACATGACCTTTATGACCTTCCCGCAGCCCGCTCAGGTCAAGCCTCCTCCCCCACCCCCTGTGTGATGGTTCTCTCTGGCTGTTCGAACATGGCAGGCTGCTCTCCATTTCTCCCTCTGGACTCGTCCACCTCCCACCCCCTCCAAAGCAGGAAAAGCCTACCCCTCCGTCAGCTCTCAGTTCCAAGCCTCCCCCGACACCTCCTCACCCTCACGCGACAGGGCCCTCCATGCTGTCTCAACAGTACCCTTCCCAACAGCACTTATGACACTGTACAAGGACGCATCCGTATGCATTTGATTAATGTCGCTAGACTGGAAGCTCAACAAGGGCAGACCTGTGTCCACCTCCACCATGATGATGCCCCTAGGACCTGCCACAGTGCCTAGTGCACACTACTTGCTCAACAAACATTTAAAGAATGAATGATTAGTAAGAGAGTTTTTTTAAAATTTGAAAGAATAGGGATTAAAATGTTGACAGTAGGATCTTTGGCGTACATAGATGACTTTTACATTCTGTTTTATATCTGTATTCTTCAAAGTTTTCACAATGAGTGCACAGTGGAGTAACACAGTATACACATTTCACTTTGACTTCTGTCACCATATGTGCTCTTGGGAGAGACTGAGTGACAACAAGAGAAATGACAGTTAAATTTAAGGACAGCAGCAAAGCTGGCCGTTGTCCCATTTCAGGAGCATGTGTCCTGCAGCAGGCTTGGGATGGGAGACCCGAGTCTGTAATTCCCTCAGTCTCAGTGCTCACAGACTCCTCGCAGGATGGTCTGGCTATGCTTGACGATTCTGCGCCACACGGCCGAAACACGAGCCTACTGCTTCATCTAAAGCAGCAGTCCATTCCAGGGCATGAGGAAATGCTGACTGTCAGCTCACTGAGAAAAACAAGGTGTGTCGGTCTCCAAAGTCGTACTTTGTTGGGAGTTTTCAAATACCATATTTCATCAATTCTAGGATGCACACGTTTTCATTTTAAGCCATTGGTGTGAATCATACAATTGATGATGTGTCTTAATTTAATAGATAGCATTTTTCATTTTTAGTGACACATAAATAACGGTGTTTCTTACAACCAGTGGCATCTTAGAGTCAATGAAATACGGTAGTTTGGATCATAGGCAATGCTTACCTAATGGGCTGCCTTTAGAACCTAACTCCCAGGAACCAACTCTATGTCATCTTTTCTATATGAAAAAATCATTTATAAATAAAGCCATTTCCACCCTATTGGGAAAAAACCACCCCAAACCCAGAAAATCCTGTAGCAGTGCGGGGCTCTGAGCTGGGCCGGAAGAAGCGGGAGGCCCTCTGCTCTGGCTGACCTTGGTCAGGCCACCCCGCCGCAGCCACACGCACCTGGGCTCCCTCGGCTATGGCCTCCGCTGTCCAGCCATGGGCAGGCACGAACTCCAGGGCTGCTGTCAGGATGCGGTGCTGCAGCTGCTCCTCACTCTCATAGTCCTCCTCCTCCTCGCCGCCCTGGTCTGTGTACCTGAGACCCGAATCCAAGAGACATGGGGACAGAGCCCAGCACACCTCATCTCGCCCCCTGCTGCCTGGCAGCAAAATGTGCCCCACCAGAGACCACCGGCTCTGTGCCTCCCTGAAGCACATGTTGGGAGGACATCTACCTTTGTGTCAGTAGCAGAGTTTCAAAGCAAACGCAGTAAAAATCACATCGTCCTTCCCCTCCCGTATAGTCACTGAGGGAGGGGAACCAGTGAGCAAGGAAGGCTCACACGACAGGAAGGCAGGTGCTCCCACGGCCCCTGGATTTCCCTGTTTATAGCCCTCAGCACACTGTTTATTTATCTGTACTTGCACCAGACTGACTGCATGAGGGCAGGGATAGTAGTCATATTACTCACGGGGCCTGGTACAAAGTAGACCCTCAGAAAATAGTTGTTAAACCGAAATGAGAAGTACTTTAATCAGGAGACCAGAAAAATGACTGGGAACACTCTAATTTCAGAGCTAAAGGAACTAACTTCTCAGTGGTAGAATTAAGAAGAAAAAATATCTGATGGAAATGTAAATTATTATTACCTTTCTGAAGGGCAATTTGGCTCACATATGTAACAAAATGTTAAATGTGCACATCCTTTGACTCAGTGTCCCTCTTGCTGAATCACACACTTTATTACACTGTCTTTCATCCTAGTGAAGAAAATCCCCATATTCATCAATAAAAGATAGGTTAAGTAAATTTTGGAACTGCCATTTGCTGGAATATTATGCAACCATTAAAATAATACAGACTGTGAAAGGACATTAAAAATGTACTGTTGAGTAAAAACACAGGTTCCAGGGCAGCATGTATAGTGTATAGTGTAATTAATCATTTACTATATACAGAGGTTTATACATGAAATATGCTTAGAGAAACATCTGAAAGGATATTCACAAAAATGTTGGCAGAGTTATTTCTGGGTTTGTGATTTCTGGTCATTTTTGCTCTGTTTTTGTGAACTACTTTTTATTGTTTAGATGTTTTAGAATGTACAAGCACCATTTTCATTAACAAAAAAAAAAAGTTCCTCTCAAAGATAGTCTTTAAAGTGATTAAAGGTGAGAAGGGGGAGAAGGAGAAGAGATACACCCAAGGATGCAGAGTGGCCAGAAATGGGGGGACTGGGGTTCGGTGCCTACCTGGGGGGTGAACGAGAAGAGTCGGGACTGGGTTCTTCTGACCCCTGTGTCTCCGAATGCTCCTGGGAAAAAGACGGGGGAGGCTGCTGCTTCTGCTCGTCTGAAGACCTTAGCTGCACAGCTGAAGCACGGAAGGCACGTGGCACCAAGGCTGGTCGGCAGGAGGACACTAGAACAGAAACCGGGCTGTCAGTCAGGGACACTCAATGGAGAAGACCTTTTGAGACCCAGAAAGATATGAAGGCTGGGGAAGAGGAAAAGCAGGACAGAGTCTACTCCAGAACCACTTATCCAAGTGTTGGGTCCCAGACGAAAATCTCAGGTAAACTGGCAACCTTGCGACAGGTTGTGGAGGCAAAAGTATGAGCTGGGAAACAGACGACCTGGCTTCTAAGCCTGTTTCTATCATTTGTTAGCTGCGTGGTAATGGGAAAACCATTTCATCTCAAAAAGTGTGATTTTAAAATGTGCAAATTAAGAGTAATAATCTCTACTTGCTCGATGGGAGCGTTGTGAGGCCCAAACAAAAAATGATAGTGACCTGTAAAATGTTAGATATTCATCTATTATGGCAAGAGCACTGGACTAGCGATGAGAAGGGCTGAGTACTGACTCCCCAGTATTCACATGGCATCTCTATCTGCTTTCTCATCTGCAATACTGCAACACCTCACTTACTTTAGGAAAGGGCTTTTGGAAAGTATAGCACTGTGTTTCCTAGCATAGGCTCGTACTACTTTTTTCTTTCCCAATATTTTATGATAAAAACTTTTAGGAGCTGGCCTGGTGGCATAGCGGTTAAGTTCACACATTCCATTTTGATGGCCCACGGTTCACAGGTTTAGATCACAAGCAAGGACCTACACACTGCTCATTAAGCCATGCTGTGGCAGGCATCCCACATACAAAATAGAGGAAGATGGGCACAGATATTAGCTCAGGGCCAATCTTCCTCACCAAAAAAAAAATTAAACACAATTTCAAACACAGAGACCAGTTGAAGGAATTGTGGCATGAACACCTGTATAACTACCCCTAGGTGCTAGATAGCCATCCCTCCTACTCTTCATTCATCGATCCATCTTATTTTTTGATGCATTTGTTGCAGACCTCCGTATTCTCCAGCTCTAAACATTTCAGCATGCATATCATTAACTAGAGTTCAGTATTTATTTACTGTTCTTTTATTGAGGTCACACCTACTTTTAATGAAAGGTATGAATCTCAAACATGCCAATTCCGAGTTGTGACAAATGTATACACTGGAATAACCTGAACCCCTATCTGGAGATTATCATCACCCCAGAAAGTTCCCTCATGTTCCTTACCAGTCATTCCCCACCAACACCGTTCTGAATTTTTCATTTTAGTTTTGTCTGTCCTGGAATTTCATCTAAATAGAATCATACAATATGGCCTTTTTGTGTAAGACTTCTTTTGCTTGGTATATTTTTGTAGATTGATTCGTATTTTTGTGTAAATCAGTAATCGTTAGTTTTTATTGTAGAGTAGTATTCCATTAAGAAACACTATTCTGGGGCTGGCAAGGTGGTGTAGTGGTTAAGTTTACACGCTCTGCTTCAGCAGCCTGGGGTTTGCTGGTTCAGATCCTGGGCACAGACCTACATACAGCTCATCAAGCTGTGCTGTGGCAGCATCCCACATGTAAAATAGAGGAAGATTGGCATAGATGTTAGCTTAGGGACAATCTTCCTCACCAAAAAAAAAGAAAGAAAGAAAGAAGGAAAGAAACACTATTCTATTGATAGACATCTGGGCTGTTTCAGTGTTGGCTATTATAAATAAAGCTGTTTTGAATACACTTGTACAAACCTTTTTGTGGATATATGCTTTCATTTCTCTGGGGTACATACCTAGGAGTGGATGTGCTGGGTCACTGGCATCACTTTTACTAAACATTTAACTTAGAGTTTTGTAAAAAACGACAAAAGGGCACTCATTTTTTTACATCTATGGACTGAGGGAACAACGATTTTAAAAGAAATACAGCACAGTATGTGTAAGAATATCAATAGTATCTGTACAGAAAAAATGGAGCAAATATTCATAAAACTATGAAAAGGGCAGGGGTGGTCCCAAAGCAATGTTGCAGAACCACGGCGGTTCACAAGATTTCAGGTAACATGCAGAAGAACAGTTATTATTTCATTAGTTATATATTTACGTTAATGTGCCAATGCATACATTCTATTTATGGACGGTGACACTGGTTTTCTGCTTAGGGTAGTGATATAGTTTCCTCCTTTAAGTAAAAGTCTATATATTTAAGAACTCAGATGTATAAACAAAAATACTGAAATACAGTGGCAAAGGTGGTAGGAGAATATCACAGAACTACTGAAGTGGAGGGGAAACGACTGACTTATGAAATGATGGACTGGGCGCTCGCTCTTGCTCTTCCCAGCTCGGTCCCTCCAGTGGTCCCGACCCAAAGACCGGGTCCGAGTCGGACAGTGCGGCGACCGACACGCTACGTGACCTTGCGCACTCCAACCCTCTCCAGCGCCCCGTTAACTGCATTAAATGGGAGTGGCAGGCCTGCTCCGCTGCTCATGCCCATCACGGCTCCAGACCAGCGCAGAAGCCAGCAGGCGGCCCGTTCAAGTGCGCGACGCCGGCGACTCCGCGTCCGTGCCCTTCACCTCACCTTGCTCGCTGGCCGCCACGGCGGCCTCCTCCGCCCTGCACCCAGCCCAGGTCGGCCTCGCGCCCCCTCCCCGCTCCTCCCTGCTCTCCGGCTCGGCCACCCCCTCACCCGGCAGGCACCGCAGCTGCAGGAGCCTCCAGCCCGCCCGACCGAGCGCGCCGGACACCGCCGCCGCCATCTTAGAAGCGGGCACGCCGCCGCTGGCGACGCGACGCCAGCGCGACGCTCCCACTTCCGCCCCCCTCGCGCGGCCGGAGTCTCCTCCTCTCGCGAGAGGCGCGAGGCGCGGAACCGGTGGCTGAGGACGTGCGGGGAGCGAGCGCCGGGCACCAGGTGAGCGCTGTTCTGGCGGCCCGAGAGCCCGAACTCCCTCAACGGTCCCCTCCCGGCCCACTCTCGTCCCTAAATGCTCTCATATCCTATTCCCAGCCCCGTCCATCGGTGGGTCCGCGGCATGGCCACCTCCCCGAGGACCCCGGCGAGGTTCTGCCCCGGGGGAAGCGGCGTGGGGGGCCCCGGCTCCTGGCGCCGCGCTGCTCGCCCATCGGGGCTACGCCAGCCCTCCCGCCCCGGCCGGCCTGAACCCCCGGGCAGCGCGCCGAGCAGGAGCCGCGCTGAGCCGGGGTGCGGGAGACCTGGGTCCGAGACCCGCGTCTGCGGTAGCCGGCTGTGGGGACCTTGGGCCTCACGCCCTCTACTCAGACGTTGGGGGAGCTGCAGTTCGGTCTCGGGGGCGGGTGGGTACCTGAACCTGTAACTGAGTATTTCCCTAACTTGCCGGCTCGGAAGAACCATCTAGGATGCTTATTAATACATCGGTACCCAGATCTTTCTCCTGGAGAGTTGATTCAGTACATCTGGGTGTCGTCCTTGAATCTTATTTTAACAAACGCCCCAGGTGATTGGTAGGATCCGCATGTTTTGGAAAGGCTGGTGGCGTTCGTTCTGACGTCGAGTGCCAAGCTCTGGGTGACTCAGGGAGGTCACGGACTAGTCACTAAACAGACACGTAGATGCAGAGCGCCTCACTGCGCTGTAGATAATCAGGGAAGGCTTCATGTTACTAGGAAGAAGTAAAGGGTTTTGGGGTTACGGATTAGGGACGACAGGAGCTAAGCAAGCATGGCACTCTGTAAATTTTGTGTTTGCAGTTGGGCCCTGGTCTTTGTGTCTGTTGTGCACACCCCTTATCAACTCTCTTTTCAAAACATCTTGCTCTCCCCTGCATGAGCGTGTGGGAAGCCCTCCTAAGTCAGAGCTACTCCCCGGTGTTAAAATTTCAGATCCATAGCTCTGAATTTCGGTAAAGCGCTGCTCATCTCTCCATGAGGTTTTGTTTCTGAGTTCTGTCCACCTATCATCAGAGGAGCCTTTCCTGTGGAAATTCTAGCATTGGGTGTCTTTTCTGAAACCCTTAACTCTTGACACACACTTCATTGCCTGCAGACAAAGTCTTCCATTTCTTTTCCTTTGAATTTTCTGTTTCCTTTCTGATTGTCACCTTTTTTCTCTGTATGTGTGTGTGTGTGCGTGCGCTTGGCGCGTACATGCCTGTGCATGTAGGTGCACGAGCTTCAGTCAGTTCGTTTTAATTAAAATTTTCCTTTCTGATAACTGTCAGTATTTTCAGAATTTTTTATGTGCCTGACTTAAAAGGATTTGATCCTTGGTTTGAACTGATATCGGAACTTCAACCCTGTTTTTTTCTTTTGGCCCTCTTCGTCTTTAAGAGGAGCCAGATGCCTCAAGATTTGTTTGGTGGGTGCCTTCAAACAAGTGCATCTCCAGAAGTTGTTCTCTCACTCTGCTTTCACTGCCTGCCAGTAATTGTTCAGAAGAGCTGTGGGCGTGTGCGGCTGTCAGCATGGGGGGGGGCTGAACAAGCAGGTTCAGTGACATGACAGTGACTTCTTCACTCCACCTCCTTTAAGTTGTGAAACTGGGCTCTGAGTCATACTTCTAAATATGTTGACTGAGATGCTGGACTGAGAGGTTGATGACTGACCCGTGGTCATGTAGCTCATAAGTAGAAGATCCAGTGGTGGACGGAAGCCCAGTCCCTCTGCGTTCAGATCCTGTGCTCTGTGAAACTCGGCCCCCACAGAGGTTGCTGAAGAAGCCTAGGCATCTGGCTCTGTGTTTTTCTCTAGCTAATAAGTAACCTTGGGCCCCTCGTTCATGAGGGTTTCCTGTGAGGATAGTGCAAGGTTGTAGTGGTCACTGGTGGACGGGGAGCTTGTCATCTCTTTCTGTTGTCCCAAGGGAGAACCTGTTCCAACATTGTTCTAGAAACAGGTCATTTATTTCTTATAACTTAATGCCCAGCAATCCATATTTCTGTCTTCCCTGGCTGGTTCGTAAATGGGAAATTGACCCCAAGTTGCTTACCTTAAAGTGCAAGGGTTCTTCTTCCACATCATGTGACAGTTAAAAGCATAAAAGTTTCAGTTCTTGATGGTGTGCTTTTTAGGGATTTAAAAACCACAATTCAATGACTAAGGCATCCTGCTTGTGTGATAACACTTGGCATCCTTTTACTGCGGCTTGCAGTCAGGTCAGAATACTGAAGAGTGAGCATCCACATGGAAAGAACCAGATGAAAGGCTTGACAGAGTGAAAATGTACAGGTTTTCATAGAAGATGGGGGGATTCAGTTTGGAGAGGGGGGAGATACAGGTGGAGCCAGATTATGGAGGACCTGAACCCAGAACACTAGATTTGTCTAGAACACTAGGTAGATGCTCTAGAAAGGAAAACCTTTAGTAACTCCTTTAGGAAATGAGCAAGAAGATAAGGTATTATAGTATTTAAGGATAACTGGCTAATGGGGCATGGTTTGTAGGCAGAGGAGCACGTCATTTGAAGTGAACATTTTTAAAGAAGGAACGTGGTCTAAAGTCAGCCCCAGAGTGTCTGTGGTGGCGGCGTTGTCACTGAGTTGGGCCCTCTGCGGAAGACAGAGGTGTTCAGTGTGAGCCTGATCCCTGCTTGGCCCTCTCCCACAGCTTGTCTTTACGGCACTTGTTAAATGGGAAACTCGGCAGCCTTAATGTTTGAGAGAGAAAGGAGGAACTGAGCAGAGCACTATCTCCTGACCTCGTTTCATTGTGAGCACTTCTAGCCTCAGCTGAGTATCAAGTGGAAGAGAAAGGGGATCCTTGGGGGAAATTTCCGTAGGTTAAGAGCCCGAGCTTTGCAGTCCTATGGGTGTAAATTCGAATCTCAGCTCTTACTTTATCCACACAACACTTACTGGTTGAACTGGGCAAATTCAGTTTCCTGGGTGTAAAATGGGGATAATATTTAGTTTGAGGTTGTTCTGAGCTTCAGTTGAAATCATGGATGTAAAGTGCTTTGAATAGTCTGGCTAGTGTTAAACATTAAAGAACGACATAGTGGATACTGTTGATCACGGGAAATTCAGTGGAATTGAATTTTCATGTTTTAATGAAAGGGAAAATATCATATCCAATTTGCTAAATTTAAATATGTTGTCTCTTTTTAAAAAAAACATTAAGCATGTGGTTGGGTTGTGTCTGCCAATTTATTTGCCTTCCTTGCTGAGTCATACTTCTGCCTAATGAATGTCCTGTGTCTTTTATATTCTGGCCAAGCTGAGTTGTCACAAATCAAAGAGGAAATAATCCTTCTGTCTTCAGCCTCTTTACTTGACTGCTAGTCAGGATTCTCACCAAGGAGCCACCTGCGTGGTTTGGGAACGTTGCGGTTATGAAACCTAGAGGGAATGGGTTCATTTCCTCAGACTCTAGTATTGACAGTAAGGTTTGCTAATGTGGTCAGCATTCCCTGGGAGGTCAGAATTAGGTTGTGATCTAAGCTCGTCTGCTGGTACTCCGGGGAGGAAATTGCACTTTGTCCCTGCTCAGTCTTGACTCTCCCATGGCCCACGGTTTTAGGTCTGCAGTGCTGCAGGAATGGCAGACTTTGGGATCTCAGTGGGCCAGTTCGTGGCAGTCATCTGGGATAAGTCCTGCCCCGCGGAGGCTCTGAAAGACCTGGTGGATAAGCTTCAGGCGTTGACTGGCGATGAGGGCCACGTGTCTATGGAAAACATCAACCAGCTGTTGCAGTGTAAGTGCCCACCCAGGTCTTCTCTCCAGGCTGGGGTGAGGGGGTGATGGGAACGCTGCACTTCTATGCTTCCTCGATAGCTGAGTTTCTGCTTGCCGTGGCCCGTGATAGGAGTGGGCGGTCCCCGTGTTGTTTTTTACTTGAGATATAGTGGATTTAGGAGTGTAGTTGATGATTTGTGCAGGTATGTTATTTTCCTTAGATATTCTGCACTTTTCAAAAGGCTTATTCTTCAGCTTCCTTTTTTACTTCTTTCCCTGAACATGTAAAAGGATATGAAGTTAGTTAAAGGCTGAGGGAGAGCAGGGCAGCAGTGGCGGTGCCGCTCTTGCTAGTAATGGTGGGATAACAGCGTTTGCTGTACAGGTGGGCGTTTGTTCTCCCAGGGCCAGGCCCGGAGCCTTTGTGGGGGCTTGGGAGGGAGCGGGAGATTGCTTCTGGGGCCCAGGGGATTGCTGACTTGAATCTTCCTTCTTTGCAGCTGCCCACAAAGAGTCGAGCTTTGACATCGTTTTGTCGGGGGTAATTCCTGGAAGCAGCATTGTGCACAGCGCTGAGATTTTGGCTGAGGTGGCCCGGATCCTTCGGCCCGGGGGATGTCTTTTTCTGAAAGAGCCAGTAGAGACAGCTGTGGGTAAGGAAGTCTTCATTTGGAAGACTGGAGTGTAACAGGGTTGAATCTTAGGGGTGTTTGCTGCCTCTCTCTGAGCAGGAGTCGTCATTTAGAGATCACTGTTCATATAGCCCAGCCGTCTCCTTAGGGATGAATTATTGTAAGAGTCTGAAGCAACACATCTGAACAAATTGTGATCTTTGACCCATTAGGTGGTATAGTAGAAGGGAACTGCCCATCTGAAAATGGCTGGATCCTTCAACAGGTGAATGGTTAAACTTTGGTACGTCCATCCCATGGAAAAGTGTGCAGCAATAAAAAGAAACAAACTATTGATACGTGCAGTAACTCGGATGAATCTCAAGGGAATCATGCTGAGTGAAAAAATCCAGTCTCAAAAGGTTACGTGCTACATGATTCTGTTCATAGAACATTCTAGAAGTAAAGTTATAACGAGGGGGAACAGATTGGTGGTTACAGGCACTTAGGAATAGGAGGGAGGGGGTGTATGAGGCTGTGAAGGATTCCTTGTGGCGATGGAACATTCTGTGTCTTGAGTGTGGTAGTGGTTACATGAATCTACATGTGTGATAACATTGCATAGAACTGCACACACACGTGTGTGTAAAGCTGGTGAGATCTGGATGAGCTCTGTGGACTGCCAGTGACAGTTTCCCGGCTTCATGCTGTACTGTAGTTGTGTAAGATATTGCCATGGGGAGACGAGGTGAAGGGTCCCGGAGACCTCCCTGAACTTGTTTTTTAAACTTCCTGTGCATCTATAGTTAATTCAAAGTAAAAAACTTAAAAATAATAACTGGAAGTCTGGGAGTGATGAGGTTACTGTTGATTCATGTGAAACTAATGGTTGAATCCAAGGGATAGAAACTTCTCTTTTTTGCTCGGTGGTGAAGCTGTCAGAGTCATTCAATTCTGAATTTTTAGCAGTTTTTACTAGACTTTCCATCAAAATGTGATCACTTGTTTCATCATAAGATAGTAGAAGTGAAAGTATTTTGAAATGTATAAAGGTAGTTTACGTGGAACTACAAACTTGTGACGTATGCAGCAGATCAGCCTTCTTTGCTGGAGTTAACCCTTGGGTTGCTAAGCGCAGTGTCTCTTGTCGAATTATATGGAGAGTGCACCTATGAGCCCTACAGTTCCTCAGCCCCTTTCTCAGTCATTGTCCAACATCCCCTGGAAGGTCAGGTATTTCCGAGAAGCAGAAGATATAATAATAATGGAATTCTTATCTAACGCTTGAGAACATAGGTAGGTGCACTGTGAACAACCAAAAGGATTTTTAAAATTAAAATACTGTCACTAAAATATATATATGTTGAACAGAATAGGTTGTTATTGTTTTAATGCCTGCCGACCCAGACAGGATGGAGCCTTTATTATTTTTCCTGCTTTGACCTGTAAAGCTGTTAACAGGGTTTTCCTCCTGGCAGTTAACAACAGCAAGGTGAGGACGGCATCCAAGCTGTGCTCGGCCCTGACTCTGTCTGGTCTGGTGGAAGTAAAAGAGGTATGTTGGTAGACAGCCTTTCCCGGGAATTTAAACCTTGGGTGGCTAAAGCCAGTGTCTCTTTGTCAGACGATACAGAGAGAATCGGGGGAAGTAACAGCCTTGAAGGCGAGGGGATCAGTGTGGCTTAGGCTAGGAAACAAGTTGAGAAGTGCTTGCCTCAAAGGACAAACATCTGGGAATAAATCTCCTTTGAAGAGAGTGAGCTTGTACCCATGTGGGTTGGGGCACATTCTGGTCTCAAAACTGGTTTAGTGGTGGTGACTGCTGTGTCAGTAAGGTCACGTGCATGTATTGTTCCGTCACTAGCTTTTTAGGTATCTAGACATTCACCACCTCAGCGTACTTCCCCTTGTTCTTGTTAATACTGAACGCTGTCCGGTGCTTAGATGGGCTGTGATTTATTTAACCATCCTATAATTGTTGGACACAGAAGTAGCACCCCGATCCTTTTTTCTACCTGTACTGTCTGCTCCTTCTTCCCAAGGAACAGAGAAAGCATTTCCCTCCCCCATGGTTCTTTTTCCTTCTGTTTGGTTACTGCTGTCTTCATTGTGGGCATGCTTCCCCACTGTAGGCTTCGACCCGCTTCTGTGGGACCATTTCTGATTCATCTTTACAGTCATAGTCATTGCAGCCCCACAGTGACTAGCACAGCGCTACACCTAATAGATCGATATTTGATAAGTACTTTAAACCTTTCCAGAGGGTAGGCTTAAAGGAAACGCGCTGACAAAAGTTACACTCTCGGGTTCTGGGCCCTGAGAAACTGAATGTGAGGCGTGAGGTGAGGTCTGTTACGTAAGGATGTCCCGCTGTTATGTGCTTATCCACGGAAGTGAGTATCTGGCTCCTGTCTAGGTGGCCACAGCGAAACAGCATTTTGTAGCAGGAGTGTGGCGTAATCCTTTTGATGTCTTGAATTACAGCTGCAGCGGGAGTCCTTAAGTCCTGAGGAGATGCAGTCTGTCCAGGAGCACCTGGGGTACCACAGTGACAGCTTGCTCTCTGTGCAGATCACAGGCAAAAAACCCAACTTTGAAGTGGGTTCTTCTAGTCAACTTAAGCTTTCTATTGCCAAGAAGTCTTCTCCTTCAGGTAAGGCTGGCCTAGGGACATTCTTCTGTCTGAATGGGCCTGGAAGGACGTCGTAGAAATTGAGGCAGAGATCTAAACGAGCTGGTGATATTTTTAGAGGGTTAGTCCTTCCTTAATTTCTGTCATTTCCAAATAGAAGAATGCTTAGTGTACTATTGTCCTGGACATTTTCGGATCCTAGACTGAAATAATGCATAGGTATTGTGCAGTTCAGCCGCTTCTGCACCAGAGGACACGGAGGCGGCCTGATTCTCGAGGCCTGAGTCACATAGCTTAGCTAAGGAAGTCTTTCCTGGCCCCAGAATTACAACATTTATCCTCAGAAGACCTCACAGTGGTGGGAATGGTAAATAAGAGTGCCCTGTGCCTCTCTCCTTTGTCCTTTATTTCTGTGCCAGTAAAGTCAGCTTTTCTTCTTGGAGGATCCTAAGACACTTATAAAAATATTTCTTCTCAGAAAATTACGCCTCTCCCTTTGCCACCACTCTCACCCTTCCTATCACTATTTTTTAATGCCTGAGTTGGGAAGAAATGTCCCAGCTGTGAGGTATGCAGAAATTTATAGTACATTCACACTGCCCTCTTTTGACTGTTCAGCCTAAGGCTCCAAGAAACCCTTGGGAGTCCTAACCTTTGGAGTCATGGTTCTGGAATGGGTGGGGACAGCTTGGAGGAGCAGGTGGCTGGTGGAAGGTCTGAGCATCCAGTGGCGACAGTGACCACTGGGGGTGCATTTCCCCCCAAGGCCCCTTTGAGGGCCTGCCGCACTGAATCCGTGGTCTCTGTCTGGCCCTTCCTTACTTTCTCCTGGCCTCGACAGAGAACCCGGAGGTGTGAGGTTTGTCTCCCACAGATTTGTGTTACACTCTAGCTCTGGGACCTGTTTTCTTGTGTGTAACAGGTTGATGTGAAGCTAAAGCTTTGCTCTTTATGATGGTTTTGACACACTTTCTCACTTAATCCTCACGTCTCCTGCAGTAGATATAGGGAGCACCATTCACCCCATGTTCTGCGGAGGAAATCGAAGATGAGGAGAAGAAAGCAGTATAGTGTGAAAGTTAAAGGCATGGGACAGAGCCGGCCCTGATGGCCTCGTGGTTAGAGTTCATTGCGCTCCGCTTTGGCTCCCGGGTTCACATCCCGGTCCGTCAATAGCCATTCTCTGGTAGCAGCTCACGTAGAAGAACTAGAATGACGTAGAACTAGCATGTACAACCCTGTACTGGGGCTTTGGGGAGAGAAAAAAAAAAAACAAGCAAGATTGGCAACAGATGTAAGCTCAGGGCAAATCTTTTCCTGCAAAAAACAAAAGCATTAGACAGACTTGTATTTGTGGCTTTGTATAACTGGCCTCAGTGTCTAAACCTGTTTCCTCATCTACACAATCAGGATGATAAATGCCTCCTGAGGTTGTTAGCAGTATTAAATTAGATGATGTTATAAAATGCTTGATATGGCATCTGGTTAGAAGCGCTTAACAAAGGATGGCTTCTGTTACTCTCAGAAAGCACTTGTCCCGGGTCCTGCCTTTTATAAGTGGTAGAGCTGGGCCTCGAACCCAAGTCTTTTGACTCCCAGTCCAGCGTGTTCTCTAGAGTCTCGATAGAAGGCCCTGACTATGCTTGTCGTTTGTTTCTGCTGCGTTTGTGAGCTCTTGTTCTTTTACTGTTTGGACTCAGGGAAGCCTGCTGTGGACCCTGCAGCTGCGAAGCTCTGGACCCTCTCAGCCAACGACATGGAGGATGACAGCGTGGTGAGTCACGCTGTGGTCACTTGATTGCTTTCTTTATGTCCCGCTTCGGGTATGAGTGGTCGAGGTTTGAAGTGGCCTCTCTGGACGTCAAGTGTGAACGTCTTCAAAGCCCAGCATTGTGGCTGTGCCCGTCCCTGGCACTTGGATTCAGAAGGAAACTCCACATTACTGCTGTTTAAAATTTCTTTTTCAGCATCTCTTTTCCACACAGATTTTCTTGTTCTCACTTCATGTGATATGTTGGAGACTCTTGTAAGCATGTATAAACCTGAAAAGAGTTTGTCAGCGAAACTATTTACGTTGGCCCCTTTGTCTGGGCGAGTCACTCAGCGCGCACTGTCTTAAAAGCAAGGTTTCCCTTCTTTGGTCAGCGCTGTCTGTAATAAAGTTCTGCATTTCTATGACCATTGAAGTTCCAGTGGTGAGCAAAACAGGTTGTGGTTCGTGCCCTCATGGACTTAGATTCATTGTCCACACGTTTATCAAATAATTACACAAAGGTATCAGTATTTACCTTTTTCTCTGGAATTAATATATAGAAAATATTTTATTCTCCTTTTCCTATGACAGCCCTTTATATGTTCAAATGAATATAACCCTTCTCTCTTTGTTCTTCCTGCGCCCTGCACACACACGTATATATTCTCTACACGCTGTAAATTAGTTCCCAGTCCCTCGCAGCCTAATGTCTCTTCCGTGCACATAGGTTGGGTCCCTGCAGTGGTCAGCTTGAGCAGGGTGATCAACAAAGTAGGAGTGTGGGTGCCTTCTCTACATGCACGGTGGGCCTGCTACGGCCGCCAGTGACCTCTTCAGCTTTTCGTTAGCAGAGACCGTGACCTTGTCACTAACTGCATCAAACGCTCTCCAGGAGCTCATTGACTCGGATGACCTGCTGGACCCGGAAGATTTGAAGAAGCCGGATCCAGCTTCCCTGCGGGCTGCCTCCTGTGGGGAAGGGAAGAAGAGGACGGCCTGCAGGAACTGGTGGGTGCTGGCGAGGGCCGGGCTGCACCGCCCGCCGCGGGGAGCGTCTGATGTGCCGGGAATCGCAGGACGTTACTGCTATTAGAGCATGTTTGTTGTGAAATGTGTTGTGCGTGCAGAGCAGTATATTGCGCAGACACACTTGAAAGAATACTAAAATGAACACCCGTGTACTGATGGCCCAGGCTAAGAATCACAGACGTTGCTAGCACCTTGGAAGTCGCCTCTACGTGCTTCCCCAGCTGCATCTCCTGCCCTCCCACAAGCGGTTACCAACCTCCTGAGTTTGTGCTACTCATTCCTGGCTTGTGTGATAGTTCACCACCTATTTGAATCTCCAAACAGTGTATTTAGTTGTGAAGCCCAAATGTGACTAGGCAAGGGAAGGTCGATATTCCACATCTCGGAAGGCTTCCAGGGAAAGAGAAGCTCGACGGGGTCTTCTGGCCCCACTTCTACAAGAGCCCCTTTGGGGGGTCAGTGAGAAGAGTCAGGAGTGAGTTCTGGGAAACGAAGGGCGTGCTGCACTGAGAACACCTGGCAGGGTTGGAGTGTGGCGCGGTGACTGGATGACCGATGAGTTACGGTCCGGAGGAGCGGGCTGCTCTGTGCGTTCTGCTCTCAGCTCTCCCTGGCCTGAGCTCCTCTCAGGAGCAGATGAGCCAGAGCACTTGCACTGGGTGGATGGGGTGTCCTTGGGTGGCCAGCAGGGTTTGGAGGGGAACGCTGAACGTTATCAGCACAGGGTCAAGATAAGCCGAGGACAGAATCTGGACTAGCTCGCCTGCCCGCGGGTAAAAAGGTTGCTAGGATCGCAGCAGTGGTTTGTGACGGTGGCAGCCTTCCACATGTCTGTCTCACCCCACTGCTCCAGTGTGCACTGGGCTTCTGTCCAAGCAGAGCTGGCATGGGACCCCTGCACTGCTCCCTGAGCATTCCCGTCCCTCTGTCTGATGTGGGCCTTTCTGTTTCCTGGGTCCCGTACTTCCTCTTGGTTTTTTCTTTTGGTTTGGTGGAGCAAATGCTACAGTAGATTTTACCTGAGAGGTGGGTTTTGTTTTTTGATTTTTTTTTTAGACTTTGTGTAGCCGAAAATGCCTTTTTTCTCTTGTAAATGATTGGTAATTTAGATACAGAAATCTGGATAGGAATAATTTTCTTACATAGTTTTGAAGACAGTCCTATCTTTCTTCCAGTGATTGTGATGAGAGATCTGAGGCCGTTCTGTTTCTTGATCTTTCTCTAGGATCTCTTTTTCCATTTTGGAAGTCTGTAGAATCTTCTTTATCCCCAGTATCATCTTGTAATCACATGTCCTGAATAGGAATCTGTTTTTACCTTTTGCAGTAGCCACTCAGTTCATCTTTCCAGCCTATAAAGTCCTATCCGTAGTCCTGGGAAATACTCTTTTATTTTGCGTATGACTTCTGTCTTCTCTCTCTGTAACCTGTCACTCGATGTTGGGTCTCTTCGATTGTCGTGTAGTTTTCTTTTCTCTCAGGTTTTCCTTATGCCCTCCTTTCTGGGAAATTTCCGCAGGTTTATCCTCCAAAACCTGTACTGTGTCATTTGGTTTCTACTATCATGTTTTTAATTTCTAGGATTCCTTTTTTTGTTCTTGACTTTTTTTAAGACAGCGTCCTGTTTTTATTTTGTGGATGTGATCTCTTCCCTTTTCTCTTGAGGACAGTGATAGTTCTCTCGAGGATTTTTTCACCCCGCGTCGTCTCTGTTTCCTGCTCGTGCTTTTTTCTTTGAGTTTACTGACTTCTCTGTGGACGCTTTCTTAAGATGCCTGGTGACTGTGGGTCGTCTTCCTGAGTAAGAGTGGAGGATGGAAAGCTCTCTTGGGAGCTCTGAGCATCCAGGTGGGACTTGTTGACTGTGCTTTAGTAAAGGGAACCTGGGTAGGCCTTTTAAGGGTCGTCCCAAAGTCCTATCCTTGGGGCTTTCCTTTTGGATTGGATACATTTCTCAGAGAAGGGGCTTCCTGGTGCTGCCCATTCCAGGCCTTTTAGGGTTTCGGGCTGAAGTGAGGGCTCATGCCCGGCGTTCCTCACTGCCGGCCTGGACTTGAGCTTCCTTCTGTCTCAGTCAGTTCTCCTCCTCTGTCTGCTGTACAGTTTCCAGCGCTGCATTGCGATAGTCCTTGTCTCTGTGGGTTTCTGTCTTAGTGCAGTTTTGGTGGGATTTTGAGGGAAAGTGAAATCAGGTGCCTGCATTCAGTCTGTCCTCTTAACCTGGGAATGCACAAGCTCGTATTTTTACATTAGTTTTATAAGGAGATGGAAAGGGTGGTAAAAAGTTAACTGGCGGGGTGCAGGCTTGCTTCATTCTCATTGTTTTTTTAAATGTGAAAGTTGCCAGCGTTTACAAATCAGGAGATTTCGAGTAAAAATCCTAATGTGTTTTTCTGTTCTTAACTTTGGAAAATATGGCAGCACTGGGTCTGCTGTCCCCCACAATGTTAATCAGCTGAGGCTGAGTAGTGGCTGCCTTTGTAGACAGGGCCTCTCCCGTGGGTCCCCCATTCTCCACCGCTCTTGCTGTCTCCCTAAACAGCCCCACGCATTTATCTTATCTGCCTGGCCCTGTAGGCGTTTGAGTTATGACACCCCAGGATAAAGAGAAGAATCTTAGAGCACATTTTGGCACTGCCAAGGATTTGGAGTTTCTGGGTGGTGGCGAATGTCACTCATCAGCTACTGATTTTCCCCCAGCACTTGTGGCCTTGCAGAAGAACTGGAAAAAGAGAAGTCAAGGGGACAGATGAGCTCCCAACCCAAGTCAGCTTGTGGAAACGTAAGTATCTGGATCATTACTGACTATTCACAGTCCCCCAGTAGTATTGGGCTTCCACTAAGCTAAGCACAGACCAGCTCCTGCTGTGAGGAGTCATTGCCCGAGTATTTTAGTAAGAGACGGACGTGTCCTGTGTCGTGTGTGGGTCCCAACGGGGAGGAGAGCTCATCTCCTGGGTCTTTAGCACTCGCCCGGCCAGAGGGGAGGCCCCTGTCTTCCTCCTTCCTAGGGGGCCTGATGTTATTCAGCCACTTGGCTGAGCTCGGCTGTGATCTGAACTGCTGAGAACAGAGAAATATGGCCTCCTAAGGAACTTTTTGAGACAATTGTTTTTCGTGAAACCAGAGATCTTAAAAACTCTTGAGTATTTGGGTTCCAATTGGACCTACAGATGCACCCAGCCATTTCCTTCAGGCCGATGTGCCACACTATGAAATGAGGGCCCCTTCTGGCCTGTGTCTCTGGGATAAGCTGCCCTCAGCTTCCCTGTGTGGGTGTCTCTTCTCCACAGTGCTACCTGGGTGATGCTTTCCGCTGTGCCAGCTGCCCCTACCTTGGGATGCCAGCCTTCAAACCTGGAGAGAAGGTGCTCCTGAGTGATAGCAATCTCAACGATGCCTGAGAGAGACCCGACGGGACACATCTGCTCGTCCGGCTGGCTCCTGTCCCTCCAGTCCCACCACTGTGGTTCCTCCTGCATCCTCTGGATTCGCTCACTCTCTCTGAAATCCGTTTGCCAGAGGGTGCTTACAGACAGAGTGACACTGGCCGTGGGGGCAGTGGTGTGCGATGCTGCTATGTATCAGAGACAGGGTGTCACGGGGCCTGGCTACCCTGTGTGGGGGGACCTGTTTCTTCAACTAGTATTAGGGACAGAGAGCACCCTGAGGAGGCCCGTTCCCGATGTCGGATGCTGAGCACAGCGCTCTCTGAGCCCCGACACCCCTGAGCGCTGGCGCTCTGACGGGGAGCCCCACCCCGTGCCCAGCTCAGCAGTAGAGCCGCTGCCGGTCCTCCAGGCTGGTGGTTTCCTCAGTGTGCGGTTCCTGGTGCCGTGAGTCAGGCGTCTCATGACTCCTCAGGGACCAAAGGAATCATTCCTTGGTCGCTGTGATCATATGCAGTGTCCCACCCCCACCCCCTTGCACTGTGTTGTATCTGTGTCCTGTTGTCATTTCTGTTCATTTGCAGTTATTAAACTCGTGTACTTCTGCATGTCAGTTGTGAAGAGGGGATGTGTGTGTGTGTGTGACGCCGACACGGTCATCCAAGCTCAACTTGGGCCACACAACTTCTGGAGAGACTGAGTCCCACACAGATGGGGCCAGTCCTCCACTTAGGATCCGGGCCTCTCTCCATCTACCTTACAAGAGTCCGGATTGGTGAGAATTCAGAGGGAAGCAGGACAGAAATCCGAAGCAACAATAAATCTCTCCGAGCAGGAGACCCTTCCTTCTCGTTGCTGCCCACCCACACAGACTTGGAATGGAGCTTGCCAAATAGTTGGAGAGATTGGGCTTAAGAGACCTAGATTTTTATGTTTTACCAATAAATAAAAGTGTTCACTGGTATCCGTCCTTGAAACTTGACTCGATTCTCTAAGTTTGCTTTTGCTTATCCTGGTCCCTGCTGGTGGATTTTAGTTAAAGTGGGTGTGGCTAAGTGCTGGCTTGACTCCAAAGCCCATGTGGTAGGGAGAGGTCTAAGAGGACCCCAGCGCCCCTCACCCCCTGTAATCCCGGCCCCCGAGTTGAGCAGGACCTGTGAGTGTGGTGGGGCATCACTGCTGTGAGTAGGTGGCATGGTGCAGCGAAAGTGGAGCGATTTTGTGATGTCGTTAAAATCCCCGATGGACCTTCGGTGAAAGGTAATAGCCTGAGTGGGCCTGAGCTGATCAGTTGGTCCATTAAAAGAACGGAGAACTGAGAGTTCTCTTGCTGGCCTTCTCAAGTTGCCGTGTTGTGAGAGGCCTGGGTGAGGAACTGCGAGCAGCCTCCAGGAGCCGAGAGCAGAGCCCCCGACCATCGGGAGAGGAGGTCCCCAGCGCTATATCCATGAGAACGGAAGTCTGAGCTGACCAAGTGCGGGAGCTCGAAGAGGACCCCAGTTCCAGGTGGGACCGCAGCCTCCCTGTGCCTGACTCCTGACCTCGGGATCTGCGATGGTAAGTGTGTGTGGTTTTACACACACTGTAATTGGTGGTAATTTGTTACGCAGCGATGGGAAACGAGTACAGCCCCAGACTACGGTCAATGTTAACAGGTATTTATGGAGCTGCTGGGCCGGGCCACTGTTAGCCACTTCTGCTGCAGTTGCTGAGCTGAAGGACAAAAGTCTCTACCTGAGGTTGAGGACAGGACAGCTGAGCCAGAGAGCTTCCTGGGACGCAGTTAGCAGAGCCATGGGCAAGTGCCACGAGCCCTCCTGACCTGAGGCTCGTTCTGCGTTCCCGCCACCAAAAGCATGGACAATGCTGCCTCCTGCCTGCTGTGCGGGTCCCGTCATTGGCCGTCCCACGTTGGCAGCTGCCGGGTGCGCCACCCAGGGGCTCCGAGGGAGGCCGCCAGCTCCACCGGGCCAGCATGCTGGAGAGGCCTTGCTGGTCAGTGGTGCACATCCGGCATGGAGCTCCCCCAGCGCAGCGCAGCGAGGAGGTGCCGGGAGGCAGCTGGTCCCCGCATCCCATGCCTTTGGGAGACAGCAGTGCTGAGTTAGAGCCGAAAACCCTCTCAGACGTCACCGAATGCAACCTCAGTTAAGTGGGAGGAAAGTGGATGGGACACAGCGACGTGCCACTTGTCCATCCCCAAGAACCTTCAAAGGTGCAGGTGCCCTGTGTTCTTGCCCATTCTCCCAGTAGGCCTGAGGAGCGGCTGGGGAGTCTGAATTCTTTTTAAGCTTTCGAAGGTCTTGCTGAGAACCTGGCAGCGCACAGTTGGGACTTCCCCCTTCTCCCTGCAATCGCTCCAAAGCACTAAGTGGAGAGGGCAGCAGAGCGAACTGCACCTCCCTCGGGGTTGGCAGCCACCTGCATTGGAACCCCAAGATTGTGGGAAGGGGGGCAGCAGGGGGGCCTTGGAGCTGGAGTAGGGGGGCAGAGAAGGGAGAACAAGTGAGGCCTCAGACCTGCTACAGGCTAAGGGCTCCCCTTGAGGTGCAAAACCAAACCTCCGGGGGAAGGGGGTTCCAAGTGCGCAGGCAGGGCTGGAGGAGCCTGATGGGGTGCCATGGGGGAGGCGTGGCTGACTTGACTCCCCTTATTGCTGAAACAGTGTGAGACTGTAAAGGAGTGGAACAAAAATCTTCGTGAGCCTGGGGAAGTTTCTGGTTTGTGCTTGTTTGTGTTTTCTTGTCCGCCCCCTCAGTCTTTCTGTGCTTGCACTGCTGTCGTGTCATCGTGACAGACTTAGCGGGGACCGGAGGGGTGGGGGACAGCTCTCTGCACAGCTCTTAGCTCTTTTCGCTGGACGCATGGTGACAGACTGAAGCCTCCACTCGACCTCAGTGGCTTCAGATCTCACCTTCTGTTGCCACTTGTTGGTGGTCAGCTTGTGGTCTGACCACTGGTCACCCATCGCCCACCACCCAGCAGGAGGCCTTTACCTCTGTGAGGCCTGGGAGGGTCCGCAAACCGCATGCAGGCTCAGCTGGGCTTGGAAGTGCTCAGAAGTCCCTCCCTCCCTTCCTTCCTTCCTTCTTTTTTCTTTTTTTTTTACAATTACTTGAACATTTTTTTCTTTTATATTATGGCAGATTTCAAACATAGATAATCATAGATATAACAGGCAACTAGATTTTTTAAAATTCAGATCACTTTTTTTATTGAGGTATAATACAATATTACATTAGTTTCAGTTGTACAACAGAATGATATGATGTATATCTTCCACAATAGTGTATATATTGCGAAATGATCACCACAATAAGTCTAGTCAACAGCGGTCGCTGCACATAGTTACAAATCTGTTTTTTCTTGTGATGAGAACTTTTAAGATTTACTCTGTTAGCAAGTTTCAGCAGTGTTAGAGACTAGTCGCCAGGCTGTCCATCACATTCCCAGGACTTATTTCTGTTATAACAAAGTTTGTGCCTTTGACCTCCTTCACCCATTTCTCTGCTCACTTTGTATTTCAACACGTGAGGTGTTACAGCTGTGAACCCCTTTACCATCTCTCTTCTGCCCTCCCCGAGGTGCTCTCCATCCTGAAGTCGATATACCTCCCGCCCGTCCCTGCTTTCATACTGTGACTTCAGAAAAGAGGTTGTATGAAATGTCCTTTTTTTTTTTTTGGTGAAATTTGCATAAGGTAAAATTCACCATTCTAAAGTGAACAATTCTGTGGCACTTAGTACTTCCACAGTGTTGTGCAACCATCATTTCTGTCTAGTGCCGAGCATTTCCATCCCGCCGTAAGGACCCCTGTGCCTGTCAGGCAGCTTCGCTCTGTCCCCCATCCCCCTGCCTCCGGTAACCGTTGGTCTGCGTTCTCCGTCTGTGGATTTGCCTCGTCTCGACATTTCATATAAATGGAATCTACAGGATGTGACCTTGTGCGTGTGGCCTCAGCACGTTTTCAAGGTTCATCCACATCGTAGCAGGTGTCAGTACTTCACTCCTTTCTAGGGCTGAATCCACTGCATGGATAGACCACAATTTCTTTATCCCTTGATCCCTTGATGGACATTCGGGCTGTTTCCAGCTTTCGGCTGTTGTGAACAGTGTGCTGTGAACATGGGCGTACAGGCACTAAACATGCCCTTTTAAGGCCTGGCCCCTCTGCTGGCCTGTGTCATCCCTGTTGTGTGCGGTGGCTTTGGAGATGGGCATGGGGAAGACCTGGGGTGTGGCAGTTTAACCGAGGAAACTGAAGATTTTCCAAGACTCTGGTCCCCTCAGGGCAACATGACAGGCAGAGAGCAGATGAAGCCCCCATTCTCTTGATTGGGTGCATCTTAAAATGGGTTAGAGAGGATCCAATTTCATCCTTTTATGGAGAAGTGGGCCCAGGAAAGTGAAGTGATTGGGTCCAGGCCCCACAGCCAGTCAGTGGCAAAGCAGAGCCAGAACAGGTCCTTGCCTCCTTGTGTTAAGATGTGCCTGTGGGATCTAAACTTACGTAGGTGACTGAGTGATGACACGGAGAGGCCAATGCCATTAAAGAATAATTTATTTCTTACATTTCCTGAGAGAAGGGGCCATGCCACACCACGCAGGGCAGAAGGGGAAGCCAAAGCCACAGACTTTCTCGGGGCCTCGGTGGGAAATGCGAGGCTGGGCAGGGGAGAGAACTGAGGATGGACCAGCGAGAATAGCTCCAGCGGGCTTTGGGGCCTAGAGGCTGTGCCTAGTTGTCTGGTGCCTGGCGCTGGTGATGGAGGGCAGGGGAAATATCGGTTTGGGGTGTGAGGACGTCAAGGAGGTGGGTGAGGGTACGCACTGGGGATTGGCTGGAGAGTTGGCAATCTGATATTTGCGCACCTGTGACAGCTGGATCGCAGGGGAGATGTGAACAACTTTGGCCATTGGTGCAGCCCTGTGATTAATGGACGCCAAAGAGACAAATGCGGAGTCTAGGAAAACACAGAACACCCCGGCCCAGCGCTTGGCACCGCCCAGTTCAGGAATTAGTAACCCTGCGAGTCCCCCAGCTTCTTCCTCCTTCCTTTCCAGCCACGAACCCCAGGCAGTGTGGTCGGTGGTTTCCTGGCCTCTGCTCCCCCAGGAGAAGGGCTGGCCCGCAGACACCCTGACTCGAGGCCGGAGCAGCCGCGACCGGTGCGGGGACCCCAGCCCCTGGCCTTGGAGTCGTGCGCATCCTTCTCCATCTTTATTTGGGGGCTGGAGCGCCCTCTAGTGGGCAATCGCAGAGCAACCCAATTCTAAATCCGGTCTGAGATGCGCCGAGGCCGGTCACGTTCCGGCGCTGGTCCCCGGGAGCTTCTCCTCCCCTACCGTGCCCCTCGTGCCCCCCCACCCCCGGGGCCTGGTGATTAAAATGTATAAATCAGATGTCCGCTATGCACAAAGCACTTTTTCCCCCTTATAAGTGATTCGGATACTGTGTTGCCTGACCCAGATACCTCCCCAACATGCAAGCGGCTATAATTACAGGGGCAGAGTGTGGTGAAGATTCGGCTGAGGGGAGAGCACGGGGCTGGCCGAGGACAAAGAGGGGGATCAAATGCAACCAAGGAGACCAGGGACGGCTTCCTGCAGGAGGTGCGGCCTTCGAGCTGAGCTCCGAAGAGGCCTGGATTTCAGACGTGGAAGCTGGGGAAGGAACAAGGAGGGGCCAGCGTCCTTCCCCACTCTTCCTCGTTGTCTGGTGCCTGCCCAGCCTCTTTCTTCCTTTCTCCCCATCACTAGTCATAGGGAGTTTCCAAGTCACGGTTCCTTAAAATGGCCCCTTCCCAGGGGAACACGGTGGCTGGTCCCATCCCCTGCAGCTCTCCCCATCCACCTTGCACCCTGATCCTGCTTTTAAACACTTGGATTCTGAATCCTGCGTTTTGTTGCTAGTCCTGGATCCGCCTCTCTCATGTGGAAGGACCTTTAAGCCTCGCCCCTGCAGGCTTGCTCTGGGGGCCCCCTGGCAACGCCCCAGCTCCTCACCGTCCTCCACAGCAGCTCTGCTTATGTGAGTTTACAGTATGGGCCTCTGAGGAAGGTGCCGCTAGGACGAAAAGCTGCGGCTTCTCTTAAGACAACTTTGCAATGCGCTGGACTGAATGCGTGTCCTCTGAGTGTCTTTCCGGCTCTGGCCTGCAGGGTGGGGGGCCGGGCCCCAGCCCTTGCTCTCCTTTGCTGTCACAGAGGCTCCTTCTTCCCTGCCCCCCCATTTCTGAGGTCATCCTCCCCCACCTCCCTCTTCCCCACCCCACCATGGATCCAGACAACACATTTCCACAAAGAACTTGGACTGGGCTGTCGACTGGGTCCGAGGCAGTTGTTCGAGGGATACTCCTTGGGATGAGGGCAGGGGAAGAGTCCCCGTGTGGCTCATGAGACCCTGGGATCACAGAGAAGACGGTTCCTCGCCACCGTCAGCCTCTTTATGATTGTTGTTTTTTATTCCTTCCCCTCCTATAAAATGGGCTTGGGTCTGTCATCTGGCCTGCAGTAAGACAAATGGACACAAGGGGGCAGCAGGAGGCAAAAGCTTTGCCTGAAACTCCCAATCGCAGCCCCCTCAAACCAGGGAGGTCACAGAATCTTAGGGAGAGGAGGACCCGGTGCGTCTGCCCCCAGGCTGCATCCCAGAGAGAGAAGCCGCGAGTCCACAGCTGGACAGGAGAGTGAGACAGAACTAGAATCTGAAGACTTGGACTCTTTGCCCCCGTGCACGTGATGGCTCCAGACCTGAGCTGGGCTGGACAGAGGCTCTGGGGGTGAGGGGTCCATGACCTCCCGGTCCCCATCTTTATGAGCATGTGGGCTGCGGGATCCCCAGGGCGGCTCACGGAGCTCCCAGTCTAATGAGGGAGTCAGGACTGACAGACCCACACAGGAGTCACTGGGATAACAACCCCCATGGGAGCTGGAGGGATGGGAGCAGGAGTCAGGCGGCCAGCTGTTCTCGGGGAGGGCTTCCTGGAGGCTGGCTTGGGCTGAGGCTGGGTGGGACGTCTGTGCTGTGACGGCCGGCCGGGGCTCACACTTCAGGTCAGGAGGAACCCTGGGGCGGCCTGACTGGAGCGGGAGATGAGGGCTGGGAACAGTGGGAGATGGAGCTGGAGCGGGCCAAGGCTCAGACCGCAGACCTCCCGAAAGCAGGCCAAGGCCCTGGCGTGGCCGAGCGGCCTGGAGCCTGAGCTGGCAGAGGGAGAGCGCAGGTGGAGCTGGGCCTTGCAAAGATTCTCTGGGCCAGCTGGACCGCAGTGTGTGCTGGGGGACTGAGAGGTGGGCCAGAGTTGGGAAGGGGCTGCAGGAACCCCCAGCCAGGGAGCTCCCCCAGCACTGGGCGGAACTCCTGCCAAGGAAGGGTCCTGGAAACTTTTGTGGAATTGATCAGATGCTTAAGGGGAAGTGTGTCCTCAGCTTTGCCTTGGGCAGGGGATCACAGATGAGGATAGGGGCTGGTCTGGGCCGAGACTGGGGGACCTCAGGGGCAGATGAGATGAGACTGGATGGGAGAGAATCCAGATGGCCCTTCCAAGAACCCCTCCCTGCCAGCACACAGCACAGAGGAGGGTCCACCGAGCCTCTTGTGTACCCTGCCCTGCTCGTCCCCCTCCACCCACCCCTGCCTGGGCCCCCTCACCAGGGCCACCCCTCACTCGAGTGTGGGCTGTGGCAGCCATGTCCCCCTCTCAGCCTCAGTTTCCCTTTCTGACCTGGACATGGCAGGACCAGACATTCTCTGAGGACCCTTCCAGTGTGACAGGCCGGGGTGGACAGAACACATTGACTCAGACTAAGGAAGAGACTTTAATCTGGGCCTTTTCAGGCCACGGTTCCAGTTTAGAAAAGGGGACAGGGGTCCTCTTTGTCCTCGTAGGGCTTCCACTGGACACAGGCAGCTTGGGGTCGGGGCAGTGAACACTGAGGCCAGAAGTCTGCAAACGGTCCAGGGGAAATCAGGACTCCTGGATGATGAGGCCCTGGGACTTCGTGCTGCTTTCTAAGTATCTGATTGCCTTCATCACCTTCGTGTCCTTGGGGTCTGAACAGACGGACCTGCCCAGGATAGTTCTAAAGCTACACAGAGGGAGAAAACTGTCAGGGGCTGCGGGGCGTGAATGCTTGTGGAGCCCTGGAGCAGCCTCAGCCTGCGCTGACCAGGAGTTGCCTGAAGTCACACGGCCTCAGTGGCAAATCTGGGACATCAGGCTGATTCTTGACCCTTACAAGGTCCCTACCAGTCCTGGCGCTCCCAGGAGGACCTCCTGTCCCCCACCTCAGACTGCCCACGCCCACCTACAGCCTGGGAACTAGGTGGAGCATGTGAGGGGCCTGGCACTCGAGCGCTTCTCCGGCTCAGGCCCAGGTGGGGGAAAGTGACCGCATTGGCAGCTAACTTCCCGTGTGACATGGGCTGTCCTGTGTCTCTCAGGGCCTCAGTTTTCCCATAAATCAATAGAAAGGGGGGCCTCACCACCTGGGGCCTTTTGGGTCTCGCAGTGTGGGGAGCAGGAACCGCCCTGAGGAGCAGAGCCAGGGTGGTGAAGGGGATGAATCCCGCTCTCCGCTCTCCTCTCCCCAGGGGCTGTCCTGGAAGCCCCAGGGTCCTCCTTCTGTGCTCAGCTCCCATGAGCAGGGGGCGGGGGGAGGGTGGACTCACACGATGGCATCCTTGGGGCACTCCGGGGAGGTCCTGTACCAGGTGATCAGCCTCCTGAGGGGGATGACTCCCTTGAAGTACTCCAGACAGCACTCCCGGCCCACGTTGGTGGCTCGCGCTACAAAGAAGGACGGCAGGAGTGGGCGCACCTGTGAGCATCTGCATATGCGTGTCTGTGTGTGTGTGCGTCTATCTGTGTGTCTATGTGTGTGTGTTGTTGGGGGGAGCTCTTGTGGGGGAGTCTGCGAGTGTGTTTCTGTGTGGGGAGTATGTGAATGGGGTCTATACGTGTGTGTGTGTGTGTGTGTGTGTGCGCACATTTGTGTGTGGGAGATCTGTGTGTGTGTGATTGGGGCCTGTGTATTTGCATGTGTGTGTGCATGCATGTATCTGTGTGTGCTTGAGGGAGCCTGTGCATGCTTATTTGCGTGTCTCTGTGTATGTGTCTGTGTGTGGCGCACACTCAGATACCAGCCCCGAGTCACCAAGTGTTTGCTCCGGGCCAGGCTCTGGGTTGACCTTTCCCCACTGCAGCCTTTCTCCCAGCCGGTCCTCACAGCGCACCTGGAGGCAGGTGCTAGCCCTGCCCCATTCTACAGATGCGAAAATGGAGGCCCGAGGGGTGAGGACACTTTCCAAGGCTCAGTTTCCCTCTCCTGCCTTTACGCTGATCCCCTCATTGTACATAGGACTCTTTAATAAAACGGAGGCTGACATCTGGAGAATTGTTCATTTTCCACCGTCAGAACACAGTCACAGTCGCTGCCTCAGGACCATCGCAGTGCAAGATGTGCAAGGATTTTGTCCGTCACCAGGCCAGTCCCCAAGCACTGGGGTGGCAGCATTGTCACCATCCTCATCATCTCCATCAGCATCCCTCTCCACATCATCTTCATCACCACCATCATCCTCCTTCTCCCCATCATCACCATCATCATCCTTCTCCACATCATCACCATCATCCTCCTTCTCCCCATCATCACCATCATCCTCCTTCTCCACATCATCACTATCGTCATCCTTCTCCACATCATCACCATCATCCTCCTTCTCCCCATCATCACCATCATCCTCCTTCTCCACATCATCACTATCGTCATCCTTCTCCACATCATCACCATCATCCTCCTTCTCCCCATCATCACTATCGTCATCCTTCTCCACATCATCACCATCATCCTCCTTCTCCCCATCATCACTATCGTCATCCTTCTCCACATCATCACCATCATCCTCCTTCTCCCCATCATCACCATCATCATCCTTCTCCCCATCATCACCATCATCCTCCTTCTCCCCATCATCACTATCGTCATCCTTCTCCACATCATCACCATCATCCTCCTTCTCCCCATCAGCACTATCGTCATCCTTCTCCACATCATCACCATCATCCTCCTTCTCCCCATCATCACCATCATCCTCCTTCTCCCCATCATCACTATCGTCATCCTTCTCCCCATCATCACCATCATCCTCCTTCTCCCCATCATCACTATCGTCATCCTTCTCCCCATCATCACCATCATCCTCCTTCTCCCCATCATCACTATCGTCATCCTTCTCCACATCATCACCATCATCCTCCTTCTCCCCATCATCACTATCGTCATCCTTCTCCACATCATCACCATCATCCTCCTTCTCCCCATCATCACTATCGTCATCCTTCTCCACATCATCACCATCATCCTCCTTCTCCCCATCATCACTATCGTCATCCTTCTCCACATCATCACCATCATCATCCTTCTCCCCATCATCACTATCGTCATCCTTCTCCACATCATCACCATCATCCTCCTTCTCCCCATCATCACTATCGTCATCCTTCTCCCCATCATCACCATCATTGCCATCATTTTGCTTTGAATGCCTCCCTCAAAATCCTATTGCTGCCGGCCTCTCACATCTTTGTAGGGATGCAAATAATACATAATATGTGTGTGTTGCTGCTGTGGTCTGGGTCCCCCACCCCTCCTCTCCTGGTGTCCCTTCCTCGGGCCTCCTCTCCTCTGCTCTCACCTGCGTGGGTGACCTGCAGAGAAGCCCCCAGGAGGAGGGCGACCAGGAACAGCATCTTCAGTGGAGTCATGGTGCTGGAGTCCAGGAGTGGGTCCCTCTGCTCTGTGGTGACAAGGCGGAGAGCCAAGCGTGGAGGTGACCTATTTAACCTCTGTGGGGATCCTGCCCGCCTCCTGTCACCTCCCCCTCCATCCTTCCCTAGACCAGTGGAGTTCCAAGAATTTGAGATGATTCAGCAGAAGTCCAGTCTTGGAATGTTTGTGGCTTTACAGAGAATGGACACTCGACTGGGGACGGAGGTGGGGTGTGTGTGACCAGGGGCCACGACAATGACACACTTCTCCTTTCACAGGGGACATTTCTTGGTTCCTCTATTAGCAAAGCCAAAAAGCCTCCATCCTAACCTGGTTTTGTCCCTGCTCTGAGGCTGGTGAGCCTTCTTTGTGCACGGTGCCCGGGGGGGGGACAGCCAGGCAGGGGCCAAGGGAGGCTGCCTCCCCTGAGCCCGAAGGAGCTGCAAGGTGCCAGGAAGGCCTCCCAGGGGTCTGCCGGCTGCATGGCAGATGGGCACCTCTCTGCAGGTAGGGCCACGGCTCCAGCTCCTGCTAAGAAAGCCTGGAGGCACAGACAGCTTTGGTGGTGGGTCCTTCCCCATCCTGGGCCCTGAACCACAGAAGGCCAGAGCCCGACAGGTTTTGATCACCATTTCGTCCAAATTTGCACTTCCGTAGTTTGGGAAGCCAAATTCCCCCACGTGGGGTGACTCAATCTAGGCTGCAGAACAGAATGAAAGGCCCGGTGAGCGATGATGCCTCCAGCTCCTAGCAGAGCCACGTCTGCACTGGACACATGCGCCCGAGCCAAGCCCTGAGCAGACGTTCCACAGACCCCATGGGCCGCAGCATCACTGCATCACAGCATCGGTCCCCTGGCCACCAGAGAAAATGACCATTTTTCTGCTTAGGGCTCCCCAGGCCAGATCATGGGAGTCCCTTAACTAGGAGGAGAGTCCCATGCCCGCCTCCAAGTGGGCAGCATCTTTGATTCTGCACGTGGGATCTAGGCCTGGCTCCAGCCTGTCCCTGAGTGACCAGGGGCAGCTCAGAATGACACCTGGCCCTGGAACATGGTGTCAGGTGCATTTGGTGCTGTCACAGTCAGCTCTGTGTTAATCATGGAGCCTTATTAAAATTGCATCCCTAGCGAGGATAACACCAGCAGGTGCTGTTTGCTGAGACGCGACTCCACCAGGGGCAGTACTCAGACGGTAAGCTCGTCAGTCCTCACCAGGAATCTGGGAGAGGAAACCACGACAGCGGGCTGGATCATGGGAGGGAAAGGCCAGGTGCAACTCTTCCCGCAGGGCCACCTTGGGAGGCTGGGGCTGCTTCACTTCCTGGAGGGGGTGCCTCCTGTCACGGCAGAACCTTCTGGGAGCAGAATCCTTTGTCACAGCCTTGCTGTGTGACCTTGGGCAGCTCATAGATGCTCTCTGCACCCCCGTTTCCTCACTTATAGAAGAGTGTTTGGACCATCCGAGGGGGGCCTGCCAAGATGGTAAATCTGAGAAAGATGGGGTCCTGCCTTACTGGGCCTCACACCAGCATTCCTCTGCTTCTTTTAGAGTCATATCACCTGCCAGAGACCCCCTAACCCCGCCCACTTCTCAAGCCACCACCGGGGAGGGTTCTTGGCCCCCAGCCTGTCCCCGGGGTGGGCTTCCATATGCACGTGCAGCAGAGGGGGCTGGTGCGGAGTGGGGCCTTCCTGCCTCTGCTCATCTTTGGTGCCAGCTTCCTGCAGAAGGGGTGCGATCTGCAGCCCAGACAGAGCAGCCCCCAGCTGGCCCCATCCTGCTGAGTCAGAGGAGGCTGGGCTGGGCTGGGGAAAGGGTGCTGCTGCCCTCAGCCACCCTGGCCAGGGAGAGGGAAGCTCTGGCCCGAAAACAGAGCCTTGGGCCCCGAGGAGCAGCAAACGCCCAGAGGTGCTTGGTAAGGGCCTGGGTCCCAGGAGGAGGCAGAGGGAGCGGGTCCCTGCTGAAGCTACCCCTCGTGGGGGGAGGGTCTCCTGACCCTCTGTTCTCCATGCCCTCTGCCCGGTGGCTAATGCCGTGTCTTGTGGCTTCTCCACCTGCCACAGGGGCCTCCACATGCTCCTCGGTGCAGGACAACAGGGGCTGTCACGAGGTTGATTGGCAGCTTTATTAATGGGGAGGCTGCCCCAGCCCCCACTGCTGGGGAAACTCCCTGAGTGGGTTTCGCGTCTCCCCTTGTTCCGCCACAGACTCAGAAATTTTCTCTGGAAGAACCCAAATTCCCCTGTCCCTTCTAGGGAACAAGTTACAGTGGCAGGAGCAGAAAGTTCTGGACTAGCTCTGGGCTGGTGCAGCCTGCTGGCAGGGAGGGGAACAGAGCAGCAGACAAGCCAGTGAGCACATGCTGTGTGCCCGGTGCTGTGGGGAGGGCAGAAGCCAGACACAGCCCCCGCCCTTGGGGGGGCGATTCTCCACAGCGAGATCGGGAAGGGGAGCAAGGCCTGGCCCCGCGTAGGAACGTCCAGGTGAGCTAAAGGGCCCCAGGGTCCAGAGCAGGGAGAGGTTGCTTCTGGCCAAGAGAACTTGGAAGGCTGCCTGGAGGTGGTGGCCAGTGAGCTGGGTCTTGTGGGTGGGAGAGTTCTTACCAGGACAAGGGGGCAGGCATGTCACACGAGGGAAGCTCTTAGCACAGGAGCAGAGGAGGCAGGTGCAGAGGTGAGTGAGGGAAACGGCATGGAACTCTGGTGGGGAGATGGCCTGGATGTGACACGGAGACAGTAGACTCTGTGAGGACAGGGTCGTGTCCCCCACTGTGTGCATCCCCGGGACTGGTGCACAGTGTGCTTCCAATGAGGCTTGACTGAGGAGGAGGGGACTGTAGAGGACCGAGGAAGAGGAGGTGAGACTGAGGGGGAACCTGGGGGGAAACCGTGGAGGGCTGGACGCACCTCTCAGCCTCGCCTGGGAGGCAGGGAGACCAGGGACATTTCTGAGGTGGTTTCCTTGCTGGGAATTAACCGCCTTCCTTCTCCTTGGTTCTCCTAGCTTTGAAATGGATTCCAAGGGACCTTCCAGATGGAATGTCCTGAAGCCTGGGCCTGTGATAAGGGCCTCGAGAGACCTCTATGGTGCTGTGCGGACTCTGGGACTCAGAGGCCCACCAGGGGAATCAGGAAGGCTCCCTGGAGGAGGTGGCAGTGAGGCAGAGCTCTGTGGAGGGCGGCAGGGGAGAGGTGCTCTGGTACCCGCACCCCCACCACACTTTAGCCTGAAGGAGCTGACCACCGGATTCTGGGTCCTTCACCCAGGAAGGGAGGGAGGGGGGTTCCTGCCCCACCTCTGGCTCTACAGGGGGCTGAGGTGGAATCAGGGATGCTGCTATCACAACCCCAAGAACTTAGTCCGGAGCCACAGTGCAGAGGGCGGGGTACTGGAGTGGAAGCTCTTTATCGTCTTCAAATTACACATGACAGTTGTCACTGGGTGGCAGAAGTTGTCACCCAGGTCACACCTGTATCATCTGAGGCTGCAGGAGGTGCGATGACTGGCCCGGGTCTCCCGGAGCATCTCGGTGAGGATCTAGCATTTTATCCACTCAGCTCCATCCTCCCACAGCTGAAGCCAGATCCGTCCTGCCCTGCTCGCGGGGGCTGTGAGCGAAGGTCCTAAATGTTATCTCCATCCCCCAGCCTCGAAACGTGTCCCCCTCCGCTGTCCCAAGGGCCTGATGTACTCTCTGATGAGTCAGTAATTCCTGACAGACTGCAGGTCGGCTCGATTCCTCAGGTCAGGAACACCAGGCTCACCCCTGCCCCGGGCTCTCTGTCACCGCCCACGTTCAGTCAATCGGCACACCACGTTGAGTTAGCCACGTAGATGGTCTTGAATCCATCTACTCCTCGCCATCCACATGCCCACCCGCTCCATCTCTCTGCCGGACCGCCGCCCCACATTCGTCTCCCGACGACCAGCCCCTCAGTCTGTCCTCCTCTTTAAAGCCTAGAGATTTTTCCAAAACACAAACCTGAGCAAGGCTCTCCTTTCCCCACATCCTTCAATACCTCCCCATCGCCCTCAGGACGAAGTCCAGGTTCCTGCCGACTTCTCCAGCCTCAACTTTTGTCCCCAGCCCACCACCCACCACACCGCTTTGTTCCGGCCACGTGCACCTTCTTTCAGTTCCTCGAAAATGCCAGGCTCTCACTGACACCCAGGGCTTCGTACAGGCTGTTCCCTCTGTCTAGAATATTCTCTCCTGCCCACCACCACTTCCTTTCACTCCTACCCTCCTTCAGATTAAACCTGAAACCCTCACTTCCTCCCTTCTGCCCCCTCCTTCCTCTGTGCCCACAGGTCATCGACTTCTCTCTCTCTGTGATGCTCTGTTCACATTGCACGGCGATTGCTGGCTTGTCTGCTGGGTCTTACACAGAAGACCGTGGACTCCTTGAAAATACAGCAGTCCCCCCTTATCTGCGGGGGGTACATTTCAAGACCCCCCCGTGGATGCTTGAAACTGCAGACAGTCCCAAATCCTATATATACTGTGTTTTTCCCATACATACATACCAGTGATAAAGGTTAATTTATAAATTAGACACAGCGAGAGAATAACAGTGATAACTAATAATAAAATAGGACAATTATAACAATATATTGTCATAAAAGTTATCATAGATCTTAGCAACCTCAGCATTTGATTTTTTTCATTCCTTATTAAGTGGAGAACTTTTATCTTTTCACTTAAAGGAAGCACTTTATGGCTTCTCTTTGGCATATCTGAATTGCCAGCATCACTACTCTTGCACTTTGGGGCCATTATTATGTAAAATAAGGGTTACTTGAACTCAAGCACTACAATACGGCGACAGTTGATCTGATCACCCAGACAGCTCCTAAGTGACTGACGGGCCAGTAGTGTACACAGCGTATACATCGTGGATATGTTGGACAGAGGGATGATTCATGTCAGGGTGTGATGGAGCAGGAAGCTGCGAGATTTCATCACGCTGCTCAGAACAGCATGCAATTTCAAACTTATAATTGCTTATTTCTGGAATTTTCTGTTTAATATTTTTGGACCTTGGTTGACCACAGGTAACTGAAACCATGGAGAGTGAAACTGAGGATGAGGGGGGGACTACTGAAGGATCTCTTTTGTGTCCCAACTTGTAGCCCCAGGACTCAGCACCCAGGAAGTGCCCAATAATATATGGTTATTGAATGGATGAAGAGGTGGACGGTTGGATGGGTGGGTAAACGGATGAATAGATGAGGGATGGTGGGTAATGGATGAAGGATGAGTAAATGGATGGATATATGGTTGGATGGATGGATGGAAGGATGAGTGAGTGGGTTG